CAGAAGCGGCAACCAAAAGCATTGAGGTGTGGAGGGGTTTTTCATAAGCTGTAGTTTGAAAAGAAGAATATCACAGAAGCAACTTGCGCTCGTTATGATCTTGATGATGATGATGATAAAATCAATAATCAATTATACTCGGGAGAATTAACAGATATATATAAAGGTCCCGTACATATGGGTGCAGCCATTATTCTATCGAATTTAATGTGACCTGATATCTGAGAAAATATCTCCTTACTATGAAACCAGTAGCAGACTAGCAGGGCAAAATCGATTATTCTAACAGTCAAGAGAATGATAATACGACTATGTACCAATATAAGAGATTCCACAGCCCGCCGAGTAGCATCCGTAGTTTTTCCATCTTGAACCTGCTGGAGTGATTTCTTTAAATCTCTATACCTGTGATGCATCAAAGGTTAGGGTTCAGGCTTAGAAAATTTATAGCAGTCCTTTTCAATATACATGATAATCCAACAGTAAGAAATGGCATAATTCTTACTTGTGCAGAAACTCTAGTCCACCAGCAGTCTTACATTCAGAACCCAATAACTGAATTAACCCTTCCCATTGCTGTCAAGATAGAGGAGGATAGACTAAGTACCTCTTAAACTAAAATAAATACTGACGATAAAAGATTCTTTATTTCCGAAAATAATAAGCAACAAATTGGGTAGGGAGGAAAGAAAACAGCTTTGAGCTTAGGAGATTGCTTAAAAAAATTACCTTGAAACTCTCATCAGAGATTGTTTTGCCAACAGAATCAAACAATTGCTGAGCAATCCTATTAAGACGATAGTCGTCCCGGGCTTGCTGAAGCCAAAATACTCCAGAACCTTTCCTACCATGCTTCCAGTGGTATACTCCAGCAATCTGAACAAGGGCAGTGAGAAGCTTTAATTGACATGCTCACACATTCAAATATTGTGTCTTACAACTAAATCATTCAACAGGTTGGGAAACACATAATATCCAAAATGAATGGCAAGATTGATGCATTGTCCATCACCAAAAAAAAAAAAATGAGCCTTCCAAAGTACAGATACTTATACCTTCATAATATTTGAAGTTATGTTGTCAAGTTCATAAAGGCGGCAAATCTCTATATTCTGCATGCAACATAAAATTACATTATCTATCAACCGCTTGATAATCCATGACAAATAGAGGAAAAGACATGTACAATAGCAAAGATGAGGGGCTTAAAAAAAAATGAGCCAATGACCTTAAGCAACAATTGATTATATTGAACAGGCTGTTTGGACAATAATATCTGTAACAGAACCATCCCCTGCTTCATGCATGACGTAAGATAAATTGGAGCAATCTGTAGATGTTGCAGCAAAAAATGTGAGAAATACTTAGCATTCCATTCAAATATTATTCTTTATCGAGAATGATATTAATGAGAAATAGAATAAATGTACTAATTACTACAAATCATATCCAATGATGTTGGTTAGATTGCACTCCATATTTCATTTGTCAACTGCAAAAGGCTATCCTAAGCCATACAATGTATAAAACATGCATAATTTTGCCTCAATAAACCAATGGCAGTAATTCACATGGTTATTTGCACTCACTTGCCAAGTTAATGGATGTGAGGATAGGACTTGAGCATAAACTAGTCGATGAAGCTCCTCTATGCTTATTCCCCCCATGTTCTGACGCTCTTCATGTAAAAGCATTTCTGCATGATTGCTCCCAGCAGTCAACAACTCTATGGCATGGGCAGCCATCCTGATGATAAGCAACATACAGAGTTAGATTTCAATGACCATCAGGAATAATCACAGAGGCATGTCCAAGATTCAATTTCATGATAACTTCTCATACTTGTCAGACCCAAAAAAAATTGAAAAAGTAACAACCCAAATAAGGCTTGAACAATGAAATGCTAACAAAAAGCAATAAGGAAATATGGCAGCTCACCAAGGACCAAACCCTTTTGAGCATTCTGCTAATATGACCTGAGAAGTTACAAAGGCACAATTTAGACTATGATCAAGGAATTAAAAAGGATAATTTTAATGGAGAATGTCAATTAATGTTTTATCCCCAAGTGTCACCTCAGTATTTTCCCCAAGAATTCCAATCATAAGTTCCATCAACCTATGTTCAGAGGCCATTGGTTTCAATTGAATGCATTTCTGTGCCAAACTATACATGCTTTCTAACCCCTGATACAAGAAAAGAAATAAAATGAATATTTCAAAGTCCAGCTAACATGTACAAAGGCTAAGAGCAATTTAGTAAAGGAAAAGTATATACCACAGTGAATGGCCTGATGTATAGCAAGTGTGAAATATACAGCTCTATCCAATGACATGTTGCAGTGCCAAGACTATTGGCATTACCCAGCATTATTTGTAGCAAACTTCTCAGGCCCTCCCGAGTCTGCTGGTGATCACACTGAAACCAGAATGCACTTAAATCCAGCTTATTTATTTGTGCCCGCCATTTCTCCCATGCCTATGCCAAAGAAAGACTTGAGTTAGTTATCTTCAGAGGTAGTGGATCATGAATCAAGATGAGAGAAGAACATTACTTAAAAAATAGAAGATACCTTCACAAAATCAGGTTTGGCCTTAAAGCATTCACCCAAATTTCCAGCATGCTCCAAACGCATGCGTGGCATTTTCGAAATAAGAACAGCAACTGCCTCTACAAGACCATTCTCTGTCTGTCGATGTACATGCAAAAGAGACAAAAATACATAGATTTCAATTGTTTACAGCAACAACAAACCAACATTACTGGACATGGACAGACCAACTTAAGAAAAAGGTGAATGAAATCCTTGACACATGAAAATGGAAAGAGACAGTACTACTTGGTTGAAAGGAGCAAAGACAGACATAGCACAATAGGCACAAACGTCGGACTACCATATTGTATTACAAGGTCCTACAGAGGGAATTACAAGTTTATGCTTAATGGTACCAAAAACATACAATTATTACAGAAACATAGATCTACATCTTTCATATGAAATGCCTAATAATCAATTTCTTACCAACCTCACGATTGCTGAGTTGATCTAATTGATAAGATCCATGCAAGCGCAACATTTTCACCTGCAAGTGAAAACGTCACAGTGTACCCAATCATAAAAATTCCAAAAGGAAATACATATACATGCTTGATCATAGTAACGTACGAAACCAGACCAGATTACCAAACCACTTACCACAATATCGAGCCAACCAACTGCTAGTGCTGATGACATAACTTCCCAGTATTTTGGATCATCTTCCACAACCTGCATTGAATAAACTGATTAACTACCACCACCACCATCTGACAGAATCCAGAATCAAGTACATATAACTCAAACAACAGACAAGTCTAAACTCTAAAACTGCATAAAAACCATCTAGAGAAGTCAACTCCAGTAAGCTATGTAGAAGGCTAATTATGTAAAACCTGCAAGTTAACAAGTTCTTTTTGAAAATCAACAAGCTTTGAGTGGACTGTGGGGTGTGTTCCTGAGAAAAGACTATCGTAATCCTGCCAAGATAACAAATTGATTATTAGTATGGCAGAAGTAACAAACAACTTTAAAACCAAAGTAATGGAAGAATTGATGGATATAACAGAAAAGGAAAGTGATTTACAGCTAACCAATCGACAAGGCGTTCAGGTAACCAAGATTGAGATGGCTTTTCTGCATAAAACATTTCCAATAGCTCCCACGCAGCCTTCAAACTAGTCGGTTCCTCTCCTTTCTAAGAAAAATGCGAATTGAAATGAAAGTGAGATTGGAATTATAGAATGTCAAACATGAAAAAGCAAATGATAAAGAAGAAAGAAGAAATTACCGTTATAACTGACTTTGGATCGTCGATAACCGGACCGGAAGTGGATTTCCGATTACCAAGAAGAGCATTTATGTCCTTGCTGTACTCCATTATGTACTCCCACCTGATCACAACAAATTCAAATTTATTTTCAAAATAAAAATGCAAATAAATGTCGAATATATGGCTACGAAACTACAATTTTGAAAAGCAATCACCAGTCAACATCGTAAGGTGAAGACTTCATGGACATTTTGGACAAGCTGAAGGCGGCGTTTTTCCTGCTCTGTAGAAGAGCAAAAGGAGAGACCGAACCATACGCGATCTTCCGCCAATTAGCGTCAGTGATCTCACCGTCTCCGCCGCCGAGCTTCACTTCCACTACTTTTCCTCCGGCGTCTTCGTTGTCGGAATCGTCGGAGGACGGTGCGGCGAAGATTGAGACGCGGAGGGAGTTGCCGCGTGACCATGAGATAGAGAGCCGAGAGATTGGAGACTTCAGGCCATGATGTAGAGGATACACCGCCGCGTCCTCGTACTCCGATGAGAGTGATACCAACGCGCCACCACCGGAATCTGACGAGACGCCGGGCATCTTTTTCCGATGAATCAGTGAGCTTAGCGAGTGCGAGTCCCAGTCTGTTAGGGCTTTTGAGGGCTTTGCGAAACGTTTTGGAGTCGTTGAAGAAAGGAGGGATTAATTTGAGGTGTGTTTGGTTACGAGGCAAAAAAAGGCTTCCCCAGAGGATAAAAATGTTCCTCGTAAAAAAATTCTGTTTTAAAGCAATACCATGTTTTGTACCAGCAATATCAAAAGTAAAATAAAATAATTTTTTATTATTTTAAATTAAAATAAAAAATTTATAATTATAATTTTTTGTTGTTGTACATGTAATTCAAGTTCTTTAGCTAAAAATGTATACAATTTAGATTTAAATTTATAATAATTTAATAGTTAAGAGTTAAATTGATTTTTTTAAAAACTAATTTTTATTATAATATATTTTCTCCCTCTATTTTACCTTTTTATTTTCTTTCTTTTCTTTTCACTTCTTATTTTTTTCCTTCCCTCCGACTTAGGGAAAAAAATTAAAATTAAACATGTATTAATCAATAATGAAAAAAATAAATATGTGACTATTTATAAGAGTTGAGACATGAAACGAAGCAAAAAATGAAGACAGAGGATTTGAATTTTGCAATAACAGCCATGTCCTTGACAATACACGATTTTATTGAAAGAAATGCACACATTATCATGCCTAAAAACAGTACATGATTTTTTATGGCCAGAAACTACACAGTAATTGATAACAACAGTAAATATAATCCTTTGTATGGTATAATATCAAGCTAATTTAACCAACTTGTGGACTGTAAAAGTTCTCTATTTGAACCAAAAAGCATGGTGTTCAATGCAGCCATGTAACAATCAACACTATTTCTCTTGCGTTGAAGAAGGAAGATACTCCTTTATTAACTCCTGGATCCTTTTCTTCATCATCTTATCCTTAACACCAGCGAGCATGTTTCGATAGAACAATTCCAACCTGACAAGCTTGCTACGGTCTGATGACTCCAGCATGTTCTCCCATTCCCTAGCAATGTCAAAAGTACCAGAGTTCTGCAATGAGATTGGGATATCTTGCTCTTCAAAAGGTTTACCAAAGATCGAACTGTGAAGTATGCTTGCATATCTTTCCATGATGGAAAGTTTTGATTGGAGCAGCTTCATCTCTTCCGTGGCCAAAGATAACTTCTTATCCATTTCCGACCCTGCGTCAGAATTCTTATGATCTACAATCTTATCTTCCTCACCAACAGTACTGTTCAGCTCTTCTTGCTTGAAATCCTCATTCAGTGGAGGCCATAACACCATTGAGGGGGTGAAACAATCCATTGTTTTACCATTGCCGAGAACTCCACTCCTTCCCCTGCCCCAGGACCATAGCTTATATCCATCATGTGCCACAACAACAGTATGGGCAGCCCCACAAGAAATTTGAACTGGATCATGAAATTTAGGCCCGCGCATTCCATCACCCGATATCCGTCGGGGAGAAATGGCATCTCCTGCATCTGTTCCAGTAAAACTAGCATCTGGACATAGCCCTAGACCCTTTTCCATTCCCCATGACCACACATCTTCGGCTGATGAAACAACACTAGTGTGAAACAAGCCACAGTCAACAGAAACAAGATATACGGGCTGTGGTAACTCTTTCACAGGTTCAGGAACTAATTTACTTTGAGTGGTTCCATGCCCAAGTTGCCCGTTTTCCCCAAGGCCAAATGTCCAACACATACTCTCAAGTGTTTCACTAGGTCTTTTTCTGTGAGTAAGCAAAGCAGTGTGGAAGGCACCACATGCTACCTCATAAACTGTCCATGGGATGTCCTGGTTAAATGTTTCAACAATTTCAGGATGGACTCTGCTCTCTCTGTCTCCTAGGCCTAACTGGCCATGGCCATTACCACCCCAAGAGTAGCATACAAGATCATCACCTTTATATGTTTCTCCAGCACTGACTAGGGCTACAACATGCTCGTTTCCACATGCGACCTTAACAACGGTATGGCCATGGAAATCCCAAACAGGAATTGGAGAAAAACTACTCGCAAACGTCAAGCCTCCATCACCACTGCTGTTTTCCTGAGGACAAAGGCCCCACATCCACAGGGCCCCAAGATTATCAATTGCCAGAGAAGTCATTCCTCCAGCTTTGACTGCACAAATCTGCGGTAGAAAAAGTGATGAGAAGAATGTGGAAGGTGGCCTTTCAAGTTTTAATTTACAGCAACATAACTCACGTCATACCTTCCATGGTGCTTTAGTATTTATGTCTAACTCATCTTTTGATTGATCAGGGGAACCCAACTCAAGGAAACGCTCCAACAGCTGAGGTGCCGAAGAATTCTCCCCATTTACACCAAGTTGGCCATCCATATGACAGTCAAGGGATATACCAAAATACATAAATACAGAAAGCAAAGAAAATAGATACTAATAATGATGAGCCTCCAAAAAAAAATCTTGCAATAAATTTCACTATAAAGGATACAGATGTTATAACCCCAGGACCAAACTGATCCATCATCTGCCATTTTCATAACTATAGGTGTCAATGGACTAAACATTTTTCAAAATTACTATTTCAATCACGAAATTCAGTGCAACATTTGTACAAACATAAAAACGATTGAATTAGCAAAAAGGAGGTATAAAAAATTTGCATAAAACCAAAGACTAAACCTGCAAGAGCAAGACTGTGATAAGCGCCAGCAGCGACAGCTATAAACTTAAGCTCTGAGTTTTGGAACTTGACACGAACCGGGAAATGCCCGTCGGATTCTGAACCGGTCCCGAGTCTCCCAAACATTCCTCTTCCCCATGAATACACGCACCCATCCCCTGCAATATCCATCCATTACGAAACACATTATCATAATCCTCCAATTCAAAATGTTAATCACTATAATAGAAACGAGGAGGAGCAATATGGAACTAATAGATTAAAGCTTCGTTTCATTTTTTGTTACCAGAGAGAGCGAGAGTATGAGCTTCTCCGGCGGCAACTGCTACGACTTTGCGAGATAAGTCGCCGGAACCCGGGAATGTTCCGGCGGGGTTTTCCATTGTCACCAGCGAGATAGAGCTTTAGCGGTTTTTTTTTTTTTTACTCGAGGTGGTTACCAATACCGGGAGCTGATTAAATAGTTAGTAGGCATGGAAATGAGAGCTTGACAGACGTCTCACAATGGTTGAGTGGTAATTATCTTCAAATATTGGGGAGAATTTCGGAATGTCATATGACTTTCGTGTACGTTTTTTGTTTTTTTTTCTGAATTACGTGTTCGATTCTTATATATCTGTTATCCGTCGGTCCAAATTCAATTATTATAAACTTAAGCTTATGAAATCAAAGATGTCGTCTAGGACTATAGTAGTAATCTTAATATTAGTGTATTCTCTGGTCTGCATGGTCTGTAGATTTCTGCTCTATGTTGGTCGGCTGCCTTTCTTGACACTTGACAGTGACATAAAAGCAATACTATGTGAGGAGCAGCCTTTATCTATTTTTTTGCTGTTAAAATGTGATTGGCTATTAGGGATGGATAGGACAGGATTCAACATGTTACCAAACATGTTCAAATTTCTTTGGTTCCTCCAAACATGGGATAACGATTTGACTCACCAAATCTATCTTCTCTCTCATTCATAAATAAAAAGCATTCGGAAAGTGCACCCAATTTTATAGATATTTAATATTATACGTGTAATATATAATATGATAAATATTAATAATAAATGAATTCATATGTTATATCGTATGATTATAAAATAAGATGTATCATACGATACACATCAACCTTGTTTATATTGAATTTATCTTATCAAATTACCAAAAATCCTAATTTTATTTATTTTCTTTTGAAGCTGAAATATCAAAAACTAGTTTTTTTTATGAGTTTTCAACTTTCAAGATTTAGAATTCTAATGAAAAATATTTTAAAACTTCTTTTTAATTTTTAGTAAATAAATTTGAAAATATATATTTTAAAAAAGTATTATTCTTGAGACTTTGAATTATAAAGTAATCAATTTTTTTAAATTTATACCACATAATCTTCAATATTATTAAGCATCCGAATATTTAACTCTTTAGTCGGTATATGAAGTTCAAATCCCTCCTCTCTCTCAATTCTAAAAATTAACGAAAAAGAAAACTTCAATGTTATTAATAAATATAATATTTTTATTTTTGTTATATTATATGTATGCATTTTATTCGTAATTAATTTTAAATTTTTTATCATATTTATTTACATATTTTAATTTAACAATTATGATTTCATCACATGTTTTTCCAGTTAAGTATAACAAATTTTATGTATTTTAATTAAAAAGGTAATAAAAAATATGGTTTTGTTTGTAAAATTTGTATGCTTCTTTTTTATTGTCACAAGTTGAAACTTAAGTCCAATTTCATATGATCTTAATTAAGTTTTTAAAATAGAAGTTTAGTAAGCCTATAAATCATGGGCTTACGTTTTTAACTCAAAAAATATGCCTAATAAGTAATGTAAGATCTATATTTATATACCTAAGATCCATCTTTTCTCTTACTGATAGACATTTTACCCCATACCTTCATTGCACTAGCTCTTTATTTATAGAGGAGAAAGACTCTTACAGTAATTCAAATTTACCTTGATTCTCATGTCTCTCATGAGGATCCCACATCAATAAAGACTTGAGTCTGCTCGTAGAGGAGAGACTCTTACACTAGTCTAAGTTTTTTTAATAAAGATTCGAATCAGCTTGTTGAGGAGAGACTTTTACCTTAATCCAGGTTTTTACCTAAAACTTTGTGTCTCTCAAGGGAGTCACACATCAGTAAAGATCTAAGTTTACTCTAAAGGGTTATACAGAGAGAGATGTTTGACAAAGGAAATGAACAAAACAGAGGGGAACATGCACGGTTTTCATTGTCTTTTTTTCATGTATACTACAACTTGATTTTAACATACAAGAAATAAAAGATGTAACAACACCTATATTTAGCCAATGACAGCTCACATATAAGTTAGGTCGGCTTGACAAGCCAATACAAAAAAAAAAGGAAAAGACGGTCTGGTACTATCAATAGCATGGTTGCTCCTCAAGCCATGTTATTCACGTTTTGTCATTCACAACAAAATGATGACAAAAGTTTCTTCAATTTGATCTCAAAATACTAAGGTGGCGTTTGGTACTTTATAATGCAATATGATTACAGGTAATGTGATTGCAGGAAAAATAACATTACAGTGTTTGGTATGCAAGCAAAATAATAAATAAAATGCACGAAAAATAACATTGCAGCGTTTGGTTTACAAGTAATTTGTTGAAAATATAATATTAATTTTTAAAATTACCCTTAGTTATTAAAATACAAGTTTAATATATTTATATTTTTCATTATTAATTTTTATATAATATCATCCCTTAAATATATTTTTAATGTCATATATTTTATTTTTATTTATTATTATAATCTTATATATTTTATTTTTAATATATTTATATTTTTTATTATTAATTTTTATATAATATCATATTTTAAATATATTTTTAATGTCATATATTTTATTTTTATTTATTATTATAATCTTATATATTTTATTTTTATTTCTTTAATATATTTTATTTTAATTTGTTTTACCTATATTATATAAATTTTAATTTTTTATATTTTATTTTATTTTAATTTTTGATTCTTATATTATATATTTTATTTTAATATTATATATTTTATTTTAATATTTTTATTTTAATTATAACAGTATAAAATATTTTAAATAAGGTAATAAAGTTGAAGGGTAAAATTGTTTTTAAGAATATTGCAGAGTGTAATGTAATATGATTGCATTGGTTTTGGACTGCAATCACATTACATCCCTTGGCTGTAATGTGATTGCATTGCAATCTTACATTGCAGTAGTCTATTACAAAACAAACACTGTAATGTAATTTAATTAGACACATTACAGGGAATGTGCTCTCACTTCCCTGATACCAAACGCAACCTAATATCAATTATCACTAAAAGCTTAAGTAAAGTTATAAATTACAAATACACGTTCTCAACTCAAAAGAAATGTTTGATAAGTAATAAAAAATTTATATTTATATACATAATATTTATTTTATCTCTTACTAATGTAGCATCCGTAACATTAAGAGATTAGATAATAATCATATATATCCATTTTTAATTATGATATGATTAATTTTTTGTGACTTTAATTTTTATTTAAATATATATATTTTTAAAAAATATATTATTATATATTTATTATTGATTCTCCTATTTTCAAAAAAAAATTATTGATTCTCTTATGCTTTTATATTGAATTGATGATGTTCAATCATCTAAGAATAAGTACTACTCTTATTATACAAATGAAATAAACATTTACAGTTCCTATTATTGTACATCTATACAACAAATAAATCTGTTCATAACATTAACTTTCCAAATAAATCCAACCCAAAGTAAGAATGGAACACAATTTATCCAGCGCAGAGCCCGCCACCCCCACCGCCACCACCCTCACCCGCCCCGTCCTGGCTAAGGAAAGCCGCCAAATTCAGATACTTCTCTTGATCAGCAATCCACCTTGCACGACAAATCACACAACTAGCCGACCTCCTCCCTCTGCTTCTCTTCCATCTCATCAAGCATTCTTCGTGAATCAGGTTACGGCATGTCGAACAAGCCAGTACTTTCTCCCCTTTTTCCATTTCTTCTAAGCAAACAGGGCACGTCCTCCCTTCTTCGATCTCCGTAACTCCTCCTGACGACTCACCTTGCTTCTTGGCCTGATAGTAAAGCTGATGAAACCTCTCCCGTATTCCAGCCCCCGCTAGTGCTTCAGGAGATGTAGGGGTGCTGAGAAGGCGGTTGAGCCGGCATGGCCGGAGAGTCCTCCTCCGGAGACACGTGTCATCAATGGAGACACCCAATACTCGGATAAGAACAATTAAGATGTGCTTGCATGGGGTTGTACGGTCGGGGCACGTGCATGAAGGGGTGGCAGATAATGCAACGGTGTAAACATTTCCGGTGGCACTAATATAAAGAATAAGTTGGAATCGGATCTGTGGAGGAGGAAGAGCGGGTGGCGGAGGGCTCTGACTAGCCGGTCTGCAACGGGTTGGATCGGTTTGAACCGGTGGTGCAGCCTGTTGTGGTGGTGGTCGTTAATGTTTGGCGCTGTTGATGATGAACTGGAAACGGAGTCCATTATTGGAAAAACTGAAGTTGAGAGAATGGAAGTGCTTGAAATGTGCGATTTAAGAGAAAGATTCTCATGTTCGTTAGGAACTCTTTTGGCCAAGATTCTTTGGGTAAAATTGAAGGACACGAGAGGAATAGCGGGATCGTGGGGGAATTGGGAAACCTTAACTTGGTGGCGATTGGGGAGCTGTATGATCAGCCCTGTATGGCTTAATAGCTCTGTCATTGTCGAGGTTGATTAAGGAATGAAATGTTTAAAAAGGCTGGGTTGACGGTAGTCGGTAAGGCAAGTTATGGCATGTTGTAAGCAAACGAGACTTGCCTTCCTATCTCATCAATAGCTTTAGACATAGGAATCCTATGTGTGATTCCAAGATTAAAATACAAATGGAGGTCATTTGCGGGCAATTCTAACGCTAAACTGTTAGTCATACGTTTGAAGATGTTTGCATAAAATGCTCGTGTGATGAATTTTATATTAATAAAAAATAAAATAAATTTTAAATTAATAATTAAGGTTTTTTAATTAATAATTATTTATTTTTAATTGAAAGTATGAATTCATTATGAACCACGCTCGTTAAAGATATCAAGATGGATATAATCAATGCAATAAGTACATTATAAAATTAAGTTAAAAAGAATAATATGAATCTCATATCGGTAAGATATGAGATGAATTTTGAATTTATAAAAAGAATTAATTTAATTAATAAGTATACATTTTAAATTGTAGACGTGAGTTCATGGCAAATACCCTAATCATAGATAATTTGCATCCATGCTTATTTATATAAAAATAAGGACATTAATTTTGTTACATGATATATATGGCAATTTATTTTGTAAATATATAATATACAAAACTTGTGTAATTAAATATTTGATTGCTATATTTCTTGGCCAAAAAATAATATTTAAGTAATTACATACCTCAAAAGTTTTACTAAAACTGCAAAAACACAAATACTTGTTATTGTTTGATGGCAGCAGCAAAAGAGAAACGACTTCGTTTTACTCTAACCCTGTATGGGGCAAATGACACCCGGAGTGCTCACAAAGCCAGTTTATCTCTTCTTCTACGACACTGGCGTTTTTCTTTTCCCAGCTTTCCTGGCTGTTCCTTCCCACTTTCTGCATTTAGTACCAGTGACCACCCGATTCAATCTCGCTTCTCGAAGATTATGTGGGCTTCCACTCGAAAGTCTTCTCAACCAACGAAGGTAGTTCTCGCTTCCTCTAGGCTTCTATCTGTTTCTCTTTGTTACTTGTACAAATTGATGGTACTATTTATTTTGTGCAATATCAGCAGCTGCAGAAGCAGGAAAGAGAACGGTTAGGGGTGAGTTTCAGACCAGAAAACTTCATCCCAGGTCTCGTACTTGGTTTCATACTTGGGTTGTTGTTGGATTTGTCAAAGCCCACTAAAACCCTTTCCAAGAAGAAGAATTTCCTACCTGGAAAGCTTCAAGAAGAAGACTTTGTTTCCACTAATGCTGACCAAGGCCTTAAAATGGTTTGCTTTTGCTTCCTAATTGTTATTATTTAAAAAAAATTGACTTCTTTCGTAGTATAATTGTTACAAATACCAAAATGTGACGACTTTTTAGTGTCTTTAGGATGTTTTGACGGCCGAATTGAAGTTAGTAGAAAAGGGAATGACTGGGTTTCTCTACTTATTTGGTGGAATAAAGCTTAGAAGCTTTTTTCAGAATGCTTAAGCTGATTGTATATATTGTTTCTGGTTATGGTTTCGATATGCTTTGCTGAACTCATTGACATGTATTTCTCTGTTTAGTTACTTAAGCAGTTTGATTTTGTTTATGTTTATGGACTGCTTATGACAGGTTTTAGTGGTTAGACAAGACCTTAAGATGAAATCAGGGAAGATTGCCTCTCAGTGTGCCCGTAAGATTCCTGAACTGTTCTTAATATCTGAGATTTTGCATTTGATTTCAAATTTTAGTCTGTACTGCTTTTCTAACGTCAACTCCTCGGTCGCTTCCCACCCCAAAACTAAATAATACCAAAAAAAAAAGTCTTCTCACATTTCCATGTATGCAAACCTTTGGGATCATTTGACTAAATCTTTCCTGCTGAAATTTACAGATGCTGCCACTGGCATGTATGCAGAATTGATGAAAAGGTATGTTTCCTGATTATGAGTCAATTTCTGAATTCAAGCTTTCATTTGTGACCTTGCTTTAGTTGGCGATCCATAGGAACCTGTTGTCTATATTAGTTATTTTTATAACTATAATCATTTTATCAAAGTTAAATCACATAATAATGTTGCAGCAATCGATCCCTTTTAAGACAATGGGAGGATTGTGGACAACCCAAAATAGTCGTTACATGCAGGAATCAACAAGAAATGTAAGCAGGTGATTTCATTGGGAACAATTAGGTTCTCACTGTATATGCCAACATTCATCTCTCATGTTTAAAACATGCCTTTTTGTTTTCTTAGTAGTGAAAGTACACTTTCCTTTTCTTATCAGGAATAAGTTAAGGGAAGCAGCTGAGAATATTGGCCTCCCCACTTTTGTTGTTTCTGACGCTGGAAGAACACAGGTATTTTGTCTGCATCACTGCATGTAAACTCATCATGAGGTAACTAGAATGTAATGACAATTCATAAGCATAGTATGGATTAAATTCAAAATGACTAGAGAAATTTGGCCTCTGAAACTTGCAAAATGAAGGGAAGTTGGAGCCAGAAGTTCTTATCTAATATGTATACCAAAATCAATTAACTTAGTATTTCCTTTTGTGTGCTAATGCAGATGTATTTTTAGTTGTTTGAGATTCTTTATTGCACTAAGGATTCTAAGTGGTTTCTATAGAGTATGATGTTTGCTTTCAACTGGAGTTACATTAATTGTTTAATTTCTCGAATTTGATGTTTGAGTTCTAAATTCATAATGTTTATTATTTGAAAGAAAAATGAGTGGCGAAGATCTCAAGACCACTTTATTTTACAGGTTTCAGCTGGGTCAAAGACAGTTCTCGCCGTTGGACCTGGTTTGCTTCTTTTCCATTCTGCTAAAACTGTTGTCGTTGCTTCTGTGTGATAGATTCTTTTTTACGTGCCATGATCCGTCCATTGCTTAGTAGATAAAGAAGATATGAGATATGATCACATACAACTGCCTTCCTTATGGATGTTGCAGTTCACTTTCAGCCACCAAAATAGCAAGTGATAAAAGTGAAAGCCAGTAAAAACAACTAAAAGAAGACAGACTGTATTTCTTTATTTATTGTACATCTAATTTTGTGATTGTGCAGGGCCAAAAGTGGCAGTTGATTCAGTGACAGGGAAGTTGAACTTGCTCTAATGTTGTTGAAGGAAAAATCCTCGCCTTATTGCGTCTCCATAATCATGATCTCAATCGCTTCACAAGAAATGAAAAATATCCTTTGATGGATTTTGATTGGCTCATAGAACATGGTTAGCGACAGCTGCAAGAAATGAGAGGAGTTGCTAGATGAGAATTTCTGTAACTTCTAACCATTCAATTGTAGGAAATACCATTTGGCCTGGTTACTGGAACAGATTGAGGAATCTGAATGCCAATTTGTTATATTTTGATTCTTACAGTGTTTCAAATGTTCTGTACCCTAATGTGTTTCCAACAGAGCTACCTTATCCTGCTATCTATAATCCAGAAGAAATACAAAATCTTCTTATAATTTAAGGTTGCAAACTGGCTTTTTTATCAATCCTTTGTTCTTTGTAATGTACCCTCTAACAATATAAAAGGGGTGAAGCAAGGCATTTATGATTAATTAATTTGAATCATAAATAATATGAGATAAATTTGAATCATAAAGCAGTACCTGTGTTAAAGTTTAAAACATAGAGATTGACAAGCCCAAATTGTCAATTTGCTAATATGCTAGTGTGTTACTTGAGAGTTGAGACTCAACTGTCGATATGATTAATTAATATCCTCTGTATCACCTTTTGGTAATTTCCCCCCAACGAAACCTAAAACCCCACCAAAAACCCTTGAGAATCCTTTCTTTTTCTTCAAAATCCTAACCCTAGCATTTCTCCTTTGCTTTGCCTTCTCCAAAATGGCTTCTCGTTTTAGATCTCTCTCCAAACCAACATTCTCTATCCTCAAATCTACCATTAACAAACCATCCCTTAAACCCAGAACCGCCTCTTCTCTCCTTCCTGCTCGTTCTTCCCCCACATTTTCAAGGCAAGGCCTTTAAAACCTTATCTTAATGTGCCCCTTTCAATTTCTTCAAATTTAATAATTTGGACCCGTACCCCTTGTAGTTCAGTCTGTTTTTGAATTTGGGTTCCCGTCAAATTACCAAATTTTTTGCTTCTAAATTAGCAAGCTTTGATTTTACAGGTCTGTTTCTCAATTGGGTTGTCTTCAATCTCTGCTGCCTCTCCACTCAGCGGTGTCTTCGGCTCGGCTCACGTCGTGTCTGGGAATCGATTCAAGGAGCTCGAGGTCGTTGTCTCAGGGTATGCTTTGCAGTGCAAATCCAGGAGTTTGATAATCTCCAAAATGTTTGTAATTTTGTTTCTGTAAGCAACTTTTTAAACTCTATAATTAATTGATAAAACCATGTTGTTTGTTTAGGTTGTGTTTTCTCATGAGTGTGATGTTCATATCGGATTAATTCTGGTTGAAAGCTATCAATTCGATATCGTTTGTCTGTTCTTTGTTGGTTGTATTTTTATTTACTTCTGTTCTTAATGTGTGGTTCATAACCTAAACTAGAAGAAAGTGAAGTGGTTTTTTTCATTCCAGTAAGATAAGAATTAAGCAAGAGGAAAGGGAACATAATGAGAAGTGTGTAGAAGAGTACAAATTAAATTTTGCATGTTTGCAATTTTTTGAATTAGGACATATGCATCCAATGTCAGCCAATTAGGCTTGTAATTGACAAATCGAATTTTTTATTTTAGAAGAAAGTTTGGAATGCAGTTACTCTAATATAGATTAGCACAAAAAGGTCTTGACCAAAAGAGAAAGAGCTAGACTACTTAGTGGAGATTAAATTTTAGTAACTAGTCAGTGAGACTAAATGTACATGTATCATGATTTGCTAAGTTGGGTGTGTTGGAACAGGGGTACATACAAAGAAAGACACAACCTGAGTTGGAGAGCTTGCACATGGTTTGAGAAGGTTGTGTATAATTTATGATTTTTTAAGCAATACACTGAAAATTATTGTTAGTTCTTGCTTTCTTAGTTAAAATAGAAGATTCTGCCAATACTGCTACTCTAATATGATTGGAAACTCAGCTCTAGCTATGTTGAATATTTACTTCCAATAAGCATGTAATGTACCATACTGCTTCGTTCTTGATATAATATGGATATTATGTGCATAATGAGTCGTAGCTCTCTACTTTGGTCTTTGTTCTGGTATATTTGGCTTTCGTTTTTGACATGATTCTAAGCTTGTGTGATTCTTCTACAACTTCATGCCCTTTTTCTGTCCGCATTGTCAATTATAATATTAATGGAGCTGTGTGTGCAAAACTTAGCAGGTTCTCTATTTAAATGAATAATTGAATATACCTTATATTTTGTGAGATATAGTTTCGTACTTATCAGTCTATCGGATCATGTACTTGGACTCTGTAAATGGATTGGGGATCCCTGTGTGGTTAAGGAGAAGAAATTAATCTGTTAATGGCAGGAGATCCATGTGAAATATTCTTTTACAGGGAATTGCAGGGCCATGAGAATTGTTCAAACTTGTTTTAATTTCTGCTATTTTGTCTCTGCATTTTCATGAAATGCAAAGATTATGCTATTTGTTTTTTATTCAAAGTTTCAGATTGAAATGCGATCTAGCGTTGAATCTGCATGCTAAATGTCCAATTTCTTATGGAATTTGGAACAAAACTTTAATTCTAGGATTCAAATTGAAGGCCAGTATATAAAGTCTTGTTGCCAGTGGTATTAGTTCATTGTTTGGTTGTTCGTGCAAGTTATCTCTGATCTATTGTAGATGTGCGAATAACTTTTGCCCCAGTAACTTTTAAGTGCCCTAGCCAACAAGGTCTACTTTCATGTTTCGCAAAGTCTAATGTAATTGCTCATCCTGCTATTTGATAAGGTGCTTAACTCTCAACAATCACCATGCATTGAAATATTTTCAGTAAATATTGGTTTCTTTCTGAACCCCAGTGGTTGTTATATGTGAGGTAGCTTTATTCAAGATTCATTGACTTAGGAAACCTGTTCGATTAGTTTCTTTCTTATAGCACATGCTAATGCTAATTTTTTGAGATTTTTTTTTTGTGTGTGCAGAACTAGGTCTCAGTGTGCCTCGATAACATATGAAAGAGTGGAAGGAAGTACCGCATGATGGGTCAGAGTCATTGCTTTCCTTCTTGTTATGTCCACTTGGCGATTTATTTTATTTGATAATTATGTGCTTTTCATTATTAAGTTGAAGTAAAATTTCTAAAGTCCCACATGATGGACATAACATACACTGCAAGAATCCTATTCCCGATTCTCCCGATTTTGCAACTTTTCTCTTTAGATTTCAATCTTCTTCCAAGGATCCTTTTACAGAAGATTTGTGGTGCAATGCTGCGACATTCTTACTTTAGATAATAAAATTGCTTTGCTATTTGGTCAACTTTTCTTAGCTTGGAGTTATGGTGTATATAATGAATCATGGAATTCCAATTACTTAACCACGTCTTTTTATTTAAACAAATTCTATTCATAATATTGTAGTAATGAGAAATAAAAACAATGAAAGGATGCATGGATTTCATTTTCTGTTCTCATCCTATTCTACCAGCAAAAGTCTCTGTGGTTGCCTTCGAATCCAATCCTGAATCCATTGCATCATGTGGAAAGAGCCCATGCCCATTGTATCTTTGATGTTTTCCCTTGTTGGAGGAGAAACTTCGATCCCACCTGAAGGGTGAGTCATCCACTCCTGGGTGAGTGTAAATCCTCTTAAGTTGTACAAGCCATTCCATGACCATGACACTGACGACCATAGCGGGACTGTGAATTTGGGTCAGGATAAACCTTGTCGAGGGAGCCATGTTCATATGATTACCACAATATCTTATCTTCCAAAGCAACAAGGGAGTGCACGTGAGAAAGTAGAGAGGGATGAGATGGTGTCTCCATGTCTCCCCTTTGTTTTAAAAGTAGCCTTGGCTATGGCGCCCATGTCTCCACCCTAACAAAACATATGCATGTGGGGCTCTCCCTTTCGATCTCTCAAAAGACTTTGGCATTCTACTTTTCTTTTTTATTTCAGAATTCGGACGTATTCCTAAAAAACAACCATGTGCTTCCATGCATGCTCAACCACGGTACGATAACCATCCTCAGCCTAAGGGAGGACATATGAGATAATGTTTTGCAATTGGCATGGTCGAACCGTCCCATCTGATTATCCCTTTTCCTTTCCTGCCTGGGTCCATGCAATCGACAAGAAATGGAGGCCAGCTGAATTCATTTGGGTCATAGCTCCTCAGAACCTTGGTCCATGGCTCCTAATCATGTTCAACGCCTTGGAGATAAGCTTCTTTAAGACAAGAATCGTTTCAGTTAAGAAATGGGGTTCTACCATAAATAATAATTAAAATAAAACAAACTCCATCTGGCAAGGCCAGGAAATGAAACTACTGCCATAAACTGAAAAGGGGAATGAACTTGCTTCAATGGTAGAGACATTGGGCTTCCATGTTAAGGCAACAGAGAAAATGCTTATTAATTATCTTAAAAGAAAAGGGGAGCTGCCAATTGCCAAGTCATTGACAACAGAAGTGGTTGTGAAAAGGAGACAGCCTCTTTACAAATGAACATGGAAAATACTTACCACTATGCATGGAAGCCCATATATTCAAAAACCTACTGGAATACAAGAAAGGTATCACACCACCATTATTTATTCCCATATCTGAATTATTCTATTTATTAATTAAATGAATTTGGGCCACCCTTTTCTTAGGTAGGGTCATTCGAGACTGGACCTTGCTTTTTTATTCCCAAATATCAACTTCACATTGAAGACATTGCTGATCTTTGAAAACACCATAAGAAGTAGAATCACTAAACTTCATCTCTTTAATAACACCAAAGCATACACTCTTACTATTGATTATATCAATTAAACATTAATTATCTCAATTACCTGATAAATTACACTACAACTTTTGTTAATTTGCATCTCCTTTATTGTCTCGTTTGAGATTTCTTTTATAATTTTTCACAATGGGTGAAGTAAACTTATCATATTAGGGTTTAGAGTTAGGTTTAAGGTTTAAAATTTATGATTTAATATTTAAAAATTAAAGTTTTTTATTAATAATATATAACTGAACACATGACTTAAAATTATGAAAAAATATATCAAAAAAGACATCAAGTGAGGTAAAAGATTTTTATACTTATATAAATGGTTCAATATAATTATTATTAACTGCGAATCCTTTTTTCATTTCCAAAGGTGAAGAAGAAAAGAAACGAAAAAAGAACTGAACCCTAATCACTATCTTTGTGTTTGCAATGGTGGTGAGTACTGACTCTTTGCATGCGGAACGGAAGAAAGGCATGTGACCACCGCAAACTATGCTTCTTTTTTACACTAAATTAAATTAAATTTATTATATTATGCACTGTAAAAACAACTCTATTACTAGAACTATGTATGGTTTCGTTTGTTTTAACAAATAAGACAAAGGAAAAGAAAAAGAGAAGACGGGAAAGCCATGGGGTTGGAGAAGAAGTGGTTAAAACTCTTTGAGAATAGTTAATTAACAATGATTGAGCTGAGAACATTTGCAGCTATTAAAATATAGAGGCCCATGGATTAGCATTTTGCCTAGGATCGTGCATAGACAGGAGCATCGTCAACGAGTAAATACTCTACTAGTTTTAATCTACCCATCATAGAATATATATATATATATATATATATATATATATATATATATATAAGCCCAAAGTCTCTTTCTGATTACTGATCTTTTACCAGTACAATCTCTGGATCCCAATCCTTACTCACATGCTGCTTTAATCACTATATATAATTATATGTTTTTCTAGTTTTGATTTCATTCTCGAAGTCCTCCAAGGTGGGGGAACTTGTGCAAGAAAAAGGTTAAGATGGCCAAGGAGGATTCAAGTACGTACAAGGCAGAAAAATGGGTTGTACTAAAATTGGGTTGTGGAATTCGGCATTTAACTCCTATTATAACATTCTCTGAATGTGAAAAGCTACATCAGCATATCTTTTTCACTGAAATTCATGTTGACAGCTCCATAGTCTTAACGATAATAATGCACTAGAAGAATCATCCCCAACACACTTAATTTTCTCCTTCAAATGACCTCTTTATGTATAAAAATTCGTGTAGTCATCGATTTATAATTTCAACTCAAAAAACATACGATTTTTTTTAATTCAAATTTATCTTAATTTTAATATTTTTTATAAAAATCTTATGTAAATGAAAAGTTAAATATACCCTAATATCACTTGTTACAAAATTACATTTTTAATTCAAAAAAATATATCTATTATTAAAATAAAATTTTTATTTTATAAATTTAAAACTCATCACATTTCATCTTTTAACACATGAAATTCAAGACATATGCATTTAATTACCGTAAAAACATCAAACTTGGGGTTCATTTTCCTTTTTCAAGTTTTGACCTTGTCCATGCGTAGCTCTGGCTACATCCTTACCCTATCCCCACTAGGAAAAGAAAAAAGGGTCTGCATTTACCTCCCGTCGGTGATGGGGATGGACCTTGAAATATGTTTCTTGTGCTTTCAGGAAATTGAGGAAAACTCCCATGTGAATTGTGGACATTCATGCAATTTCTGGTTAACAATTGATGGAAGGGATGGCAAGTGGCCTCAGGTCATTAACTATTTCGTAAAGTGACAAAGACGGATGTATGGTCTATAGAGACGTGGATTCATCAAAAGCTACATGTTACAAACTTGCAATGCAAACACACTTGGATGGCTGGAAATTAACATCTTAATTCTGATAAAATCGTGTTCGTATTTACTTCTGCTTGACTGAAGTGACACTTTTACACCGAAAATATCAAGTTCTTTCTCCCATGGATGTGAGATATTTCTCAATAAAATATATTGTTGAAATGGGGTGTGACTATTAATTGAAATTATAATACATTCTACACTATAATATAAAGTTGGCCTAAGTACTTCAAATAAATATCAATTGGTCAACATTAGGGTACATAGAGGTATAATAGGAGATTGGAAGGTCAAATTTTAATGAAGTCAGAGAAAGTATCAAAATGAAAAAAAAAAATACTAATTTACCTGAATTACGAAAATTGGGTTTCAAGAACATTAAGTAGTCTACGAAGATTCTCAAAAAAAAAAAAACAGTTAGGCAAAAATTACCCCTAAGAATGTAAGAAAAAAAAGGACTGGACTAAATTTAACTCTGGGAAAAAAAATTTGGAGAACTCGACCTTAGCAAAAGGTTCCCTACACTAGCACCCACTAAATCAGCTGCCTGAATTCAGGGCCCACATGTTGGTGGGTCAAGTAATCATCACCGTTGGGTACGTCAAAAACCATGTTCTGATGATGATGCTGCTGCATGAATTGTTGCTGATGTTGATGTTGGGCCCTGAGCATTTCCTTCTGGCGCCTAAGCTCGAGCACCTTACGGTGAGAGTTCGAATGCTTAGTCAGAACGAACGTCGGGCTCGCAGCGGGTCGGTACTCGGGCACAAGCCGGCCCGATTTGTACCTCACTCCACAAGCATTGCATAATGTTTTTGGGCCCATGGGGCCAGTCCGCCACTGTGGCGTCTTATCCGTTGCGCAATGCAGGCACTTTCGTCCATCAGAATTGGCGAGACCACCGCCTTCGCCACCATCTTTTTTCTTCGTCTTGACGGGCTTTTTACCGGGTTGGTTCGCGGGAGTTGGTTGGACGGGGACCACAATGTCGGGCTCGGAAGATGAAGTTGTTGGGCTGAGAACAAGGAGGCGGGAGGCCCAATTGCATGGGGCAGCCCGGGATCGTTTACTTCGTGCCTTGGCGGGCACCGACATGTCCGGATGGAAAATTGGGTTGTTGTTATTGTTACCCTGCTCCGTGTCGCCGTTATGAATGACGTTGTGCATTTGGTTCGTGAGAACGGGTTGGAACCCTCCGCTCTCTGATGATTCGTCGGGTCGGGTTTTCATTCCGGATATCAGCTGAAGCTTTTGCAGGTCCTCGCTTGAAAATGATTCCTCCACGAAATTCGACAGCCATTCGAGCTCAGCTAAATCGTCGTACTGTTAAAAGAATAACAAAAATAATAATGATATTATTATCAGCAATTTCTCCATCTTCACTTTTCTTCCATCAAATTTGAACTACTTTAATAAAGAAACTATTGTCACTATTCACGCAGCTTTCATCAAATTGCCATGCACATGGGTCTTTATCCTTTGTTTGGTTGCCCGGAAATTTATCAAAAAATACGTAAAAAATTTGAAAGTCTAAATTTTTACTAGTTTTATTTTTCGAAATTTGAACCAAAGCTAAATATCCAAGAATTGTAGTAAGTAAAACTTTATTTTATTGGCTGGCATACGGAGTAAAATTAAGGTGAAATTCATAACTTTTGTTTTTTGTTGCTGTTAAAATTTTTTTAACCTATCACATTATTGCATGTAGGGGGGAAAATTACCGGCACGCAAAGGTCACCTGCGAACTGACCGTCAGTAAAACCTCGGCAACCCATATCACTCGCGAAATTCGGTTCGCAACCCGAAAACGACGACGAATTGCAGCTGTCCACGGCCGTAACGGTGGAGGAGTCAGTCGAGTGCCCGCCAGCAACGGAGGAGTCGAATGTGCCATCCGTTATAACGGCATCCTCGTTGGAAAAGTCGAGTAAGTCCTCCACAATGAAATGGTCACCGGCCGCGGGTTTTTCGGGCGTGAATTGAGAACAATAGCTACCTCCTTGATAGAATTCTGGCGCTTCCATAATTTTAACTAGTTTTTCCCGTTTCTCGTTTTTTTTTTTTCTTTTCCTTTTTTGGGTTCAAAGTTGGCGTTAAAGGGCGATTAAGGGGTGGGATAGGGAGAGTATAGTGAGGAAAATGTGTGAGTGTAGAGAGAAAGAAAGAGAGAAAGAAGTGTGAGAAGTTGTGGTTTTGAGGAGAGAGAGAAGAGGTTTTATTTGCGTTTGAAGGGGACAGGCGGACAGCTAAAATGGAGGATTTTGACGACGTGCAAAAAAAAAAGTTAAAATAAGGAAATTCTAAAAAAATAAATAAAGAAACTTTAATTGGGTAAAGGAAAATCTTATGAGAAGTTACTTTATTGCCCTTTTCTTTTATGATTTTTTATATTATTTTTTACTAATTTTTTTTATATCTACTAAACATTATAATATTATTCTTTTAACAATCATATTTCATGTCATCACGTCCTATTCCTATTGTAATATAAAGTAACTTACCGTTAAAGTTTAGTTAATGCATGGCAAAGAGTAAGAAATCAAAACATGTAGGTAGTGAAGAAAAGTCAAATTCTACAAGGAATCACCCCCATTTGTTTAAACCAAGTGCATGTTAAGTTGAGGCACTTCTTTTCCTCCATTCCATAATTAACTATACATAATGTGGTTAATGTCACAACACTTTGCCCAAAGTTAGGTTTTGAATTCTCCAACTCATGGGATTACACTTGTAAGTAAGTATTAACTGAGTCAAAAACGTCAAATAGGTAAATATTCAATTAACATTATTGCATTAAATAAATTAGCAAGCAAAAATTTAATACTATAATCCATTTAGGAACCCCCATGTGACTTGATCCCATACAGTTCGAAATGGTTCAAATCAAAACAGTTTTGTTAGTATTTGAGCAGGCGATGTTAGTTAGAAAGACATAGGCCTAATAAGGCTTGGCCCCCACATGATATTTCAAATTCCGGGGGGCCACCGTTGAGATGATAAAAATCTAACCGCACGTGCAGGTGATGATGATGGTGATGATCACATAGGTGTACAACAATCATCACAGCACGCACCGCACACAATCAGTTACTTTCATTTGCTTACAATCAGTTTATTGTCAGAATTATTAAAACAATTAATTGCTGAATAATTGGGTAAAGAGGTAATTAGCAAATTAATTAATCAATGATTAGGGGAATAAATTTAATATGTATTCAAATTCAACCCCTTAGGAACCGATCTAGCAGGTTTGTCGCTGAGGCTTATGGCATTAGCGTCCAGGTTTACAGCCCGATTCCTCTGCTTTAATTTCCCTCGGTAGTCGCGCTTATGAATTTTTAAGTACATTTCTCTTTATTTTTCCTTTTTAAATTTCCATTCTGATATTCGCTCTTTTTTTTATTTTTTGCGAATAGTATAATTTTTATACCTCTGCTAAATTGGTGTATTATATTCCAACCCCACTTGTAAGCACGGTTATTGCAGCTCAACCGGATGAATTGAACGGTCCAGATTTTCCAAGCTTGTCCCCACCTATACAGACGGACCTGCCTATTCGGTTTTCACTTTTCACCTCATCTAGCCACGTAGGATTATGAACGAGTCTATCTACTGCGCAAATGAGCTTGTGTTACGACGTTGATCCTATTTTTGCATTTTTGTTAGCGCCCGATGTCCATTACATCACACGAGGGAAAGGAATAACATGAGAAGAAAGAACACTTGTCATTTGTTGACATGGATTTTTGTCCAAAATCTTGAAAATTTGAATAAATATTGATATCACTTAATAATATAAATATAATAAATAAAAAAAATTATTAGGAATAATTGAATAATTTGATATCTTATTATTTATTTGAAAAAAAGGTTTTTAGATAAAAAATAGAAATGTAATGATCTTGTATTTAGTTTTTAATTTTTTTGAAGTACTTAGCATTTCTCATTAAATTTGTTATCACATGACCAAATTAGACTACCCGTAAAAATGAATTCTAATAATTTTGTCGATTTCTTTTTTTTTTTTTGCCCTTTTAGAAATGCTGCTGCATGAAGCGACTAACAGCGTTGCCACGTGGCAAGTATCCAGAAGCGGAGAGACTGAGAAAAGTGCGGCCCTGCTGAATGACACCAATCCCAACGCGAGTCTACTACCAAGAGCGGATAAGGTTTTACTGTTTTTATTTATTGCTGTAAAGATATTTTCTTAGTTTTATTTTCCTACAACCTTTTGTTTCTTTTTTTTTTTTTATGGTTTTTTGCTTGAATTAAAAGGAAAGGCTGAAAAAGAGAAGGTACCGGGTCGTTGCTTGGCGTGGAGGTCTTCATTTACCAGACTTTATGTTTTTTCACTCCCTTTGATTTTTTATTTTGCAAATACTAGTATTGAATAGTTCATTTTTTAATCGGAAAATTTGGGTATTGCATGTGGGGTCCAATTTGCACGTGATAGAGCCGGGGGGTGGTGTCAGCGACCCATGTGAGTGCTTGGCGAGTGTCAAAAGCCAGAACTGACGGTGGTCAATGCCAAGTGTCGCGGATCCATGGTCTACTGGCCTTTTCTGGGATGCTTCGACCAAGTGATAAAGAGTAATACATGGGGGTGGCGGGAGGGGGGTCTTTTTATAGTTTTTTCGATAACGTGAGAGCACGTGCCCGGACGGTCACGTGAGTTGTTCACAACGCACGTACGTAACATCCTCCTTGGGACAAGTAACGTGGGACGAGGACGTTCCTCCTTTTGCCTTTCGGAATGGTCATGGTTTGCTTGTCTTTAGGCCCATGTTATTTGAATGACCAAAACGTGCCCTAATAAATTCATACAAGCTATTCATATGGTCAAATTGGTCAATTGCTGCCAGTTCAATGAACTTGCTAGCTTGTTTTATTTGGAGAAAGTTATTATTGGTTGTCTACTTGTCTTGACAAATATATATATTATATTATATTATATTATATTATATATATATAATAAGCAAATTGACCTACGTGCCTGATTTTCTATCTCTCATTTGTTACCTCATTAATTGTGATAACAAAAAAGTCTACTTCACTTCTAATCAAATTGCAACCATTCAATGTAATTGCAAAAGGAAACCCAAGATGTCTAAGCTATTTATCTCGGAGGCAATAACTTAGTAGTGGTGGCCTGAATTGTTGAGGAGGAAAACTTGTTTACAACGTCAAGTTTTTATCTGCTTTTTCCCATTTCCAATGCATCAAATTCGAAACGCTTGCGATGGCTCTGGAGCACATGGTGACTGAAGAAAGGGAGGTCTTTGGTGCACCTGCCGTGGACCCAAAGAGCCATCTGTTCGATCGGATGGTATTAAACAAAAGGCCCTGGTTCAGCACGACAGGCTTCAATCACAAGCCCATTTGCTTTCATTTAACTTTTGGCAAAGGCAGGCCAGAGAGTTTTTTTTTAAAAAAAGAAAGAGACATGTTACCTCCACGCTAACGAAGCAAACCTCGTCCTTCGCAATTAAGTATGGTGCTTGCAGATGTGGGAAGGAATGGCATATTCTTGGCTCTGTTGCGATTTTAAAAGGGTTTCCTTTTTGTTTTTGGCCCTTCTCCGAGCCAACACACAGGTACGATGCATCAGTCTTTAACATTGTTTCCCTATGTTTTCTACACTTTCTACAAACTTCTATAATAATCCATACAAATGACATAAGATAGTCTATCAATTTGGGTCAATAATGAGAAGAGTGAGGGGGTCGATGTATATCAAAAAGCTACACAACAGGAGAAACTTTCTTTAATTTTAAATGCAAAGAGTTAGTGCAACTCCGTACTTATTACGGTAGTTTATCCTATATTCTTAGGTTAAATGCAATTTTATTAGACATATCTCTAAAATAATCTCTATATTAAGATCATTTATTCGATCGCTATTTCTTAAATTTTGATTTATGCATAAATAAACCCTTAATTATAAGAAGATTTAATCGTTATTAGATTCAATATTAATTTACTATCCATATGATACATGACTTGGTGAGTTGATGTTGTCAAAAGCTTTAACTTATTTGGTCACATCGGCTATTCCGTGATTATGAAAATCGTTTTGTAATCACATTAGTGTGTTAAGCTATGTCACATGATTAAAATGGGTTTGTTGACATTGAGTTTAACAAAAGTTTAATTTTTATTAAAATTAAAAGTTTGTGTAAACTTAAATAAAGATTTAATTCTTTATGAATAATTATTTTATAATTTAAAATTATATGTATTTTATATAAAATTATTAGTTAAAAATAAATATAAAATAAGGATTTATATCTAAATTGGGAACAACTTATGTCAAGCCCTAGCACATGATGTAAATTTTGCTATCAATTTTAGTGCAATAAATTTCGACCCAAGAGCCTCAAGGCTGTTATGACTTTAAAAAGCCCATTTCTGTCTGTTTGTACATGTTTAGCCCAAGGATTGAAACAAATCTTGGAAATCGGGGCCATGGAAGTTAAAAGGGTCCGAGTCCGACTCTTTTCCGGTTCGTTATTCGGGTCTGAAGATCCTTAACGAGAAATTGGCGCACGGCGATGGAGGAAACAAAATTTTTCATTCAAACTGTAAATCGAAACAAAAATGGTGGAAGCAGATTTAATTGACCGGTGAAACTCTTAAACCCAAACCAGATCCGCCCCCAAGAAAAAGCGAGAGCAGAAGAAAAAACAGAATGGAGAAGAAACAAAGCAACCCAAAGGAGTGGTTGAATCAAATGGTAGGAGAGCCGTATTATCTCACCCATTTCCTCGCTTTCTTCTCTTATTTCATCGTTCGCAGCTCTGCTTCCCTCGCCCTTTCTCCTCACATCACTCAGCTTCTCTTTTATCGGGTAATTTATCTTTCTCCCCTTACTCTTCTTTCCGCAACAAAACCTTCTGTTTTTTCAGAACCTTCACAAATGGACATTTGTTATGTAGGAAATTCAAGCTATTCTGGCATTTTTTATGCTGATTGCATACAAGGTAATCGGAGGAACTCACTTTACTTGACTTTATAGAAAACCCAAAAACTTGCATTAAAGTAATGTACTGTTCGTTTTTCTCTGCTTTGCAAACAGATGGTAAGAGAAGAAACATGGGAGGCTTTTGTTGCTGATACGTTGTTTTTTGGAAAGGTTAGCTTACCTATTTCATTTTCATATTTTCGTGTCATTTTAATTTTATATGGTTTGCAACTAAATTTTTCTTTTCTTTCCAGATTTTGCTTGTTGCCCTTACTCTAATCGTGGACTACCACTTGACTTTGTGGTACATAGTGGTGTTTTCAGGTATTATTTTTACTTTTATTGTTGCTTATCCTGCAATGGCAATTTTAAATACTTTGATATATGCAGAAAATGTTAGACCGTTTTATGATTCTGATGTAATTGCGGCTTTATGGTGACAGTGTTTTGTTTTGCTGTCCTTACAGTGATATATGTTTTAACACAGCAACCTTCTTACCAAGAACTAGGTATCTAAAGAATTTCGGTTTGGCTTTCCGTATAATTATAAGAGTGACTTGCATTGGTTTTTTAATAGGAATGCTTTTTTCTCTTGTTTCCAATTGAATTTTCTAGGTACTGCTAGTAAATTAACACCATTGCAATTGGAAGCCTTGCTAACTGAAGGGAACCCATCAAGATTTTGGCTGGTAGGTTTGCAATATTTCTTAGATTCTTAACTTTCAACAGCATATAAATTGTAGTTGTGATTATTTCTTTACCGGCTGCAAGCCAGCATTTAAATTGAATCGAAGTGATATCATCTATATTACTCATTTAATTACATTCTTGCACAATATAAAGGGAATGCTGGTATTACAAATGAAGACAGAGATTGCACTGGTATTGATCTTTTATGCTTAAAGAAGTTATTTTGTACAGGGAAGTTCTGCTTAGAGAAGTCAGTTTGTCAACCGAACTTCCTTTGAGGGTCCAAATATAGATACTCATTTCAAATTTCCAATGTTATTTTATTTAGTGAACTTGAAACTTCATTTTTTTGGTGGGTGACAACCATGCATGCTTTGGGCAGGTAGAGTTCCGTGCTTCATTTTCATCTGGTTGCAGACGTGCAAGTCGGTGCTTTCCTGAGCTGTCAATCACGTATGTTAGTTTTCAAAATCATTGATTTTACATGTTTATTGTTGTTTGTAAGTTCTTATTAGTATTTGATGCTTCTTTTGGGCAGATATTCAAACAAAAATCTATCATTTGGAATAGTTGATCTTGGACTTTTTCCAAATGCTGCAGAAAAATTTGGAATATCTCCTGGTGGTGAGTCATATTAGTTATGAAGAGTACCCAATTAAGTTCTAGATCCACTGTCACTTATTTTTGATTTTTTTTTTGTTAAGGGATTTATGTGGGAATCTTGTACTTGCAGGGAGCATGGGACAGCTTCCTACATATATATTATTTGAGAATGCTACGGAGGTCACACGCTTTCCTGAGTTTAATTTCGAAGCAAGGCCTGCTCCTCCTATAACTAAGGTAATCTTCTTTATCTATACTTAGTTACAAGGTCCAAAGATATTGGTTGTATTTTCTGTTGCAAGTGGTAGATGTGTGAATAAATGAATGAAATATGAAAATTCCAACATATGGCTACAGTTGGCCCAGTTTATTCTGCACTTATGTTTCTTATCAAGGTATCTTGATTTTGATCACATCGTTCATATTTGGATTTATTTGTGTTTCAGAGGCTTCTTTCTCGCCATTTTGAGCTTGATCGGCATCTTCTTGAATATGTAAACGGAAAATAGCTGATTCATGTAGGCTACACGTAGCATTTGCAGACTTGAACTTGTGATTCCTACTTTTTGAATGATTAGAGATGGTCTTACAGCTAAAGAGCACCAGGAACTATTGCAGCCACATTAGGGAGTAGATAATCAACCAAGCTTCCTGTATAACTACCAAATGGAGGTCAACATTCCTGTTTGTTCCACTTTTCGACTCATGTGATTGATTGGTGGATTTTGTTATTGGCATTCTTTAAATGTAAACGTCAAGAGTGGAATGTGAAAACATGCTTCTGCCTTTGGAATAAGCATGTGAAAACGTGCTTCGTGCTGAATGTTCTGCATTCCAGCAATTCTTTTCTCATTTTCTTGTTAAGGGATAACCCCTGAAGAAATTGAAGCACCAATTCTAACATTAGCCGCTACATGGCATGACGATAATTCTTCATCCGTGTTTAACTTTTTGGCCCTGAAGAAAATCAAGCAACTCAAGTCAATTTCTAGGGCTTCTAGGCCTGCTCATGGGTTCTAAAGTGAGCTTTACGGCCCATATTAGATTCCTCATTTCAATTGTTTTTGGCATTTTTGGTTTGAGGCTGATAGTATAAGTACATACTAAACTTCGGATTAGCGCGTTAATTTACTTCACTAATCACAGCTTGGGTACACTTAATAAATAAATAAATAAAGAGATTTGCATCTCATAAAGTGCCGCCGCCGAATATTCTCCTTTTTCAATGGAAAAAAGAAAAGAGAGTAAAAAATAGTAAAAATTAAAAAAAGAAAAAAAACATGAAAGAGAGGTAATGACAGTACCAAATCATTATCAACCAGCTGGGCCAGGAGTGGGCCAAATCCTCTATTTCCGCGCCGTTGTGTGGGCCCCTCCATTTCTCTGTCGGCCCACGCTCAGGCCGTCCCACTCCGCTCTCACTTTTTCTCACTCCCCTCCCTACCTCCCCCATCTTTACCTGTGCTTGGCGTGCCCTTCCCTTCTGCCCGGGGCCAGCCGCTTCTTTGCTTCTTCTCAAAGTTTTAAGCTTATTATACTACTCCTAAGCTGCTACTAAATACACTACTCCCTGATGGAAATGGCAAAGATCAAATTAAAAAATCATCTAAATTTTGCTGCCACCTGCTTTGGTGCGTGACTCACATGATTTCCAACATCCTCTAAATCCCATTTTTTTTATTCACCCAAAACATTGCTCTAGCCATTCTTTCCTCGTGATAAGATTAACAATATGCATTGGACTATCAATCTACTCTTACTTTAATTACACGCTTCCTCTACTTCACTCTTCACTTATTTTATCAACATCCCTATATTAGTACGTCATACTCATTATTAATTACAATATCATTTACAAATTATAAATCATAAAATTATCGAATTCAAATCTTACTATTATAATGAGATATACACATTTCAGTCCATCGCTAAGCTTCTTAAAATATGGGTCACGTTTATTTTATTTGGGTTGTAACTCTTCGTAATCTTTGTTGCAGATTTTGAAGACGGTGGAAGGCAGGGGCCAGGGAGACATGGGAAGGTGGTCTCACAGTAAAGGAGAAGAAGGGAAGGGAAGTGTGCGAGCGAAGTCCGTTACGTTGACGAAACACAAAGTCACGCTTCCCTAACCGGAGATAGAGAGAGAATGTCTCTTTTCTCTGGCGCCCAACTCTGACACGCCGAAAGATAGCGACACGCGTACTATTTTTAGTGGTCCCCGTCTCCCCCCCCCACTCAGCCATGCTCCTCTGCTTATGCATATACAGCTTAGCGGTCCCTTTTTTTCTTTTTTTTTTTTACACTCGTGGGGAAAAAACAAAAACTACCCCAAACAAGTGATTTAGAGTTGGGGGGGACAAAAAGCTTGATTAGTAGCTCAAAATGTTTGGCTTAATTAACGAGGAAAATGATTGATTTTAGATTAGACATATACATATGATTATTTGAGTTTGATATATGTTAGTACTTCTTAAATAGATTAAACTTTAATATACAAATTGACATAAGATAAATGGACTTTATTCTTACAAGTTACGTTACAAATCTAAAATATTTCAAATTGGATAATTTTTGAAGAAAAACCCATATTAAAAATGTTTTCTAAATTATGTACTATGGTTTTTTTTTTCAAAATCTAAAGTACTTTTATTGACAAACTTCAAGTAAAAACAAAAATTATACAACATCCATTAACTAAATATTAATATCGAGTTTTTGTTCACGTTGAATATTGACTTTCATAAATTTATCTATTTAATTGTTAACTTCTTCATAATTATGTTGAATTCGTCACATTTCCGATTGAGATTTTATGTTTGATAAATTTATATCCTATATATGGCATGTATATTAATGTTTGATCTTTATACAGCATTAGTTAAATTGGAGTTTAAAAAGTTAAAAAGTTGGACCTGTAATTCTTTGCTTAAAAGTTGAACTCTATTTTTAGAAAGATAATAAAAATGAGGTGAAAATATCAATAAAGTCAATGACATAGCTTTTTGGTGAAAATCCAAAAAATTCCCAATCCATCCAAGAAAAGATGTTAATGCAATTGCCCCAATGCGCGTGAACTTGCTCTCGTTTCGCAGCGCGTGTGGTAAAGACATATGATATTTTTAAGGTGAAAAAAAGGGTTAAATAAGCTTGTGAAAAAAAGGCAAAGAAAAAAAAAATGTGGTACACCTGGGTGGCTGGTAAGGAGCACGTTGCAAAGCGAAGGGGGAGAGTCCTTCACGCGTGCGGGGGCCCCACACACGATGGGGCCCCCACAAGTGGACCACAGCCCAGGATATGGTCAGCTGGCGTCAACCTCACGTTACAATCACTCGTGGCACACCTGTCGAACTTCCATTCGCTGTTCCCAAATTTCAAAATAAAAAAAAAAAGAATTCAAAAATTTGAGCGCAATCCTCTTAGTGGCACCGTTTTTGATGGAACAAGCGCGAGTGGCGGGGTCTGTTATCACTTTTACCAGCCCCCGGCCCTTCCCCCTTTTTCCTTTTTTTAACAGCCGTTGACATATTGTAACAAAATGGATTAAACCATTAAAATAATTTACCACTAAACAACACGAAATCACCTTTTGTGTTTAGCCATCCCTGTCCTATTCCACCTTGGATTAAAAAGACTTGGTAATGCCACTAATGGGGCGCATTAAGGTTTTTAGGACTAATACTAACAAGCCTATCCAAAAATTTTAAATTAATTAAATTAATCAAAGACATTTTAAAAATAAAGACACGTAATTTAATCCATCTTTGATAGCGGATTAAAGTCTAAGTAAGTATGCGGGTAGTCGAAAAATCAAACACCACTTAAGTTGGTCTGCCATTGCTTGGTTTTTAAACCAATTGCTTAAGTGATAGGAAATTAGGGTTTAGATTTTTCTTTTGTTAGATGTATAACTCATGTCTGAGGGGAGACGCGGAAGGATAAGGGGGAGTTTTGACACGGTGATTGCTGAGATGACCTTTCATTGACTTAGGCAGGGTTCTCTTTTCTTAAGTGGCATTGACTCGTTTACTTTTGAAACAGATAGTACCACAGAAAAAGGTGTATTCCTTTGCCAAGTCTTTAAGTGATTAGCTCTCAAGATGTGTTATAACGAGTCTTGGCAAAGTATACCAACCTTTTTTTTTTATTTGATTGGGAACATTTAGTCTATGATTCTACCCCTTTTTTTTTTGTTCCATAGGTATAATTTAACTCTTACCGACTAAGATTTCTCATTTCTTAATTTAGGATATATTCATTTTTTATATATAAAATAATAAATTTTATTTAAAATTTTAATATTTAACGTATCAAATGTAAAGTTTGAATGATGGGATTTTAATTTATTTAAAATATAAAGAACAACATAACAAAAACCTTTGAAACTACAGAAATGACAAAGAAAAAAAAAACCGAAGTATACTTCACACTTACCTTGTAGTCGGAGTCGGTACGCCATTGAAAGGGAATAATGTTCTTTCTACATTCAAACATTAATAAAGTCATTAATCACGTCAAATCGGGATACAATTTTATTCCTTAAGGTACTGATGGTGGTTTTTGACCAGCAATTTGCATATTCATATCAATAAGAAATACAGAAACTATATTGAATTCTTAATTTCTTCTTGTCTTATTGTTTGACCAAGCCCTTTCCTCGTACTAGTCACTTGGTTGGAACCTTGGGAAAGAAAGAATTCGAAGCCTAAACATTTTAGTACGTTCATTTAACCCTTCTAATAGTTATATTTTTCCTTGTTTATTTTTGGGTACTTAATATAATCGCATACCAGTAGTAGCTAGGGGAATTAATGATGAATGAAATATGGCTACAAATTATAGCGTTGAAAACAAGGTTGGGGGTAATCTTTTGGCTAGCATCCAAGGAAAAAGATTGAGGCATATATTTGATTATGTCACAATGTAAGGGACTTAGAATGATGATGATGAGAGAGGAAAGGTGGTGATATGTTATCAGAAATGGAGGCCGCATGCAAACACCTTCATAATTTTTGTCCTCTTTACTTACACCCCATGCAATCCTCCATTTTTTTTTCTCTATATTTTTTATTTTTTTAATCTTCACTTATTACTTATAATATTAACGTATCATATATTAAAAATTTAGATTTGAATATTCTCGTTTTATATGTATAGATATGATATTATAATCTCAAAAATTAAGAAAAAATTGGGCCGGCCAGTTGTTTAATTTATGAGCCAGAAAGAGTGTGTATGGTTATTGCGTTTGTTTGAATTAATTCCTCCATTGAAGTAAAACTTTACGTAAAAAAGAATGGCATTAGGGTAAGATGGAGGGCAATTCCGTCTAAGAAGATTGGGAAGACCACGCGCTGAAACTGAGAGTGTGGATTCTAGAAAGTCCATCCTCTAATGTACAGAATGAGAGAGAGAAGAGATAGAGCAGACAGAGAGAGCTTTTTTAAGTTTGAAAGAGGGAAAGGAAAACGAAAGACAGCATAGGAGAGTGCAAGAAAAGAAAGCAGCTTATGCTCATCGCAGCAGAAGGAACAGGAAAAAACCAAAGCCAAAGCTAAAGCTACAAAGCAAAAAAAAAAAAAAAAAAGAGAGATGGAGAGAGGGATAAGTAAGACTATGATGTGAAAACAAAACAAAGTCTGATATTCTGTCTGGTATTAAGGGGTCTCTCCTTCCTTTTAACGCCACCCCATCATCCTCCCTTTCGCAACCAAATCCCAATATCAAATCAATCTTCCTCTCTCTCTCCCTGTTTGTCTGTCTTTTTTTCTTTTCCTTAACCAACCATCTTTCATAATATAACACCACACCCAGAGAGAGAGAGAAATAGAAACCTTCTCTTTCGTCCTTCTTTCCTTGTTTGAGTGTTCATCATCAACAGCAACAACAGCTGTTTCTCTTTTGAACATGTTCCGAATGTTTCGCCAAATAAAGCTCTTCATTCATTTCTAGAGTGTGCGCCCCCAGCGAAAAAACAAAAGGACTTAAAAAAAACCCCCAAAAGGGGGGCCCCAAAAAAAAAGCTACCCAAAAGAATTCAGAGCTTGCTAGAGAAGGAGACGACTTTTTTTTTTTTTGTTCTCGGAGAATTTGGAATGGATTTTTGAGGTCTCGCCGGTGATCCCTTCGTGTCCCAAAGTTCCCGAAGAGAACGGTAAGTAATCTTCATTACTTCTTTTTACTACTATGTTTTTACGTGCTTTTGAAATGAATCATTCGTTTTTTTTTTTACTAAAAAGTTGTTGTTATTTCGATGGGATAAAAGTGATGATGGTGGTGACCTCATCCTGCAAAGAGGGGAACAAGATAGCAATGGATAATGGCAAGTATGTGAGGTACACGCCCGAGCAAGTCGAAGCTTTAGAACGCCTCTACCATGAGTGTCCTAAGCCCAGCTCCATACGTCGCCAACAGCTCATTCGTGAGTGCCCCATTCTCGCTAACATTGAACCCAAACAGATCAAAGTTTGGTTCCAAAATCGTAGGTAAGTAACCTACCTTCATACTAAATGGTGTCGAAAGTTTTGATATTTTCATCTTTCAAACATATAGTGCAGCCAGAGATAACTGCATACTTCTACTAAGTTTTACTGGTTTTATTAAATATAGCGATGCAGTAACTTTGGGATTTTTTGAATTTGTTTCTTCGTCACAGATGTAGAGAAAAACAACGGAAAGAGGCGTCACGCCTCCAAGCTGTGAACAGGAAGTTGACAGCTATGAATAAACTGTTAATGGAGGAGAATGATAGGTTACAGAAACAAGTCTCACAGCTTGTTTATGAAAACAGCTATTTCCGCCAACAGACTCAAAATGTAAGCCCTTGATCTTCCCTTTGATGTAGAAGACATTAATCTACAAATCAAATTATTAAGCTTATCGTAATTCTTTATATATTAAAATTTCCTTCCTTTATAGTTTCTAAGTAATAAGCTTGTGTCAAGTTAAACTAATCAGCCTTTGAAGTTCTCATCAAATTCTATCCTCAATGCATAAGATAACAACCCTTGACCTAATTGGAACCCTTTCCTTGTACTTAAAATAGTTCAAGTCTAAAAGGAAACAACGTCAAATATTTGATTTGCTTTGAATAAGTAGTGTTATTAAGGAAATTGGAGTTTTTAATGTTTGATTGTTTGTTGCAGGCGACGCTAGCCACCACAGATACAAGCTGCGAATCAGTGGTGACGAGTGGTCAACACCATTTGACTCCTCAGCATCCTCCAAGGGATGCCAGCCCTGCAGGGTTAGTGGGAATTTTTCGCTGTTTCACTCCTATTGTTGTGTCCCTTTCTCATTCCTCGTTTCTCTATAAAATTAAACCTTTGCTTGTTGCTGTATATGCTTATGCGCCTTGTGCTTTTGTATTCTTTCTAGACTTTTGTCCATTGCAGAGGAAACTTTAACAGAGTTTCTTTCAAAGGCCACTGGAACTGCTGTGGAGTGGGTCCAAATGCCTGGGATGAAGGTTTCTGCTCTCTCTCTCTCTCTCTCTCTCTACTGACATTATTCTTTTATTCTTTACCACTCCGATTAAACTATACTCCATTAGTCCTTGTCATTTTTCGAGAATATCTAATATAAATTACAAAATCTTGCTAATCTTCCTAGCAACATCAAATACCATGAATCTGTTATGTCAATATCTTCGACAACCCCACTATGCCACCTTCTCTATTGGATAATATTTCCCTCTTTCCCATTACTATTTTCTAATTTTTAATCAATTCCTATAAATTCATGACAACCCATTGGTTTCAAAGATCTCTTCTGGAAAACTTAATCCCTTGCTTGTTAATAATTAATCACTTAACCGTAAAGATGAAAAAGCAGAACCAAGGGGGGTAATTGCAATATAGCACCTCTCTTATGAAACGTCATCCAGACATGCCTTTGTCTTATTATCAAACTCTTAACAGTTTCCTGCTATGGCCTTTATAGAACAACAGAACTTTAATTAAATGATAATCTAATATCAATAAGCTAAATTAATTAACAAAAGAACATCTTTGAGACTGTTTTTTTTTTCTGATGAATAATAGTCGTGAATCCCTTCCGTTTATACAATGACATAATAATAACTTTCTTATCTGTGCAGCCTGGTCCGGATTCCATTGGAATCGTTGCTATTTCTCATGGTTGCACTGGAGTGGCAGCACGTGCATGCGGCCTTGTGGGACTAGATCCTACAAGAGTAAGTTCGTTTTTGCTTTCTGCAGAGAGAGCATTACTTGGTTTAAATTTCGTGAAGAATTAGCGGATGATTTTTTTTTCTCATGCAGGTCGCTGAAATCCTTAAAGATCGGCCTACATGGTTCCGTGATTGCCGAGCTGTGGATGTTATGAACGTGTTGTCCACTGGAAATGGTGGGACCATTGAACTGCTTTATATGCAGGTAGGCTCCCATTTTTCTTCCTTTCAATTTGCCACTAAAGTCTGGAATTTTAATGGTGCAATTGCTCATAGTTAAAGTCTCAAAATTTGGTTGCCTTCATCTAGCTTTACGCGCCAACAACGTTGGCACCAGCTCGTGACTTCTGGTTGCTGCGCTACACATCTGTTTTGGAGGATGGTAGTCTTGTGGTATGTTTACCATGGAGCTTTTGCAATTTGTTTGCCTTAGTGTTGTCAGAAAGTTTCTGCAGTCTGATTGTTATCATGATATGCTTCTTAGGTATGTGAAAGATCACTTAACAACACTCAGAATGGTCCGACCATTCCGCCAGCAGCAAATTTTGTGAGAGCAGAAATGCTTCCTAGTGGTTATCTGATTAGACCTTGTGAAGGGGGTGGATCCATCATTCACATAGTTGATCACATGGATTTGGAGGTATGTGAATCACCTTGCTTCCATTGTGAAACATAGACATTTTATCTGCATTGGGCAACAGTTTTAATGTTCTAATTGCTTATATGTAGCCTTGGAGTGTTCCTGAAGTGTTGCGCCCCCTTTATGAGTCCTCAACTTTACTTGCTCAGAAGACAACAATGGCGGTAAGACTATTCTTTTCATCTTAACTTTGAGTTATAAATATTTTTTGCTTTTTCAGAACCTTATTTTTTTCTTTGCCATGAAATATGCAAAAATTTGAAGAAAACAACTAGTATGTTGTGCCAAGAATAATTGAATAAGATTTAGGTGACTAAACAAAGACATTAACTTGTATATTACACAGGCTCTGCGTTATTTGAGGCAGATATCTCAAGAAATATCTCAGCCAAATGTTACTGGTTGGGGGCGAAGACCTGCAGCTCTTCGTTCACTTAGTCAGAAATTGAGCAAGTATGTTCATCCAACTCTTCTCGATTCACATTGTTTGCACAATAGTAGATCGATTCTTGATAGGTGGCAATCTGACACATTCTATTCTCCAGAGGCTTTAATGAGGCTGTTAATGGATTTACTGATGAAGGATGGTCAATGTTGGAAAGTGATGGTGTTGATGATGTTACCCTCCTTGTGAACTCATCTCCTGGCAAGATGATGGGCATAAACCTTTCCTATAGTAATGGATTTCCTTCAATGGGCAATGCCGTTCTATGTGCCAAAGCATCCATGTTGTTGCAGGTGAGTTTCTAATTGTATTGCAAGTATGTCAATCACAGCAGAAGATGTAGGGATATGAAACAAAGCAAAACTGGGTTTTTAAATTTGAATATAACCAGACATAGTTGAAGTTTACCAAAAAAATAGTGGTTTGAGGAGGATGAAAAATAATCATGTAGCCTTGGGCTCTTGGATCTTTGTTGGGTGAGTTGCACTGAACATAGAACTCTTGCAGTACTCGGAACTGGCCTTATAGATTATTCAGCTTTTCATCTATTAATCTTGCCAAACATGTTTCATATTTTTTAAAACTCTGCTTCATCCTATTTGTAGAATGTGCCTCCAGCAATACTTCTTAGATTCTTGCGAGAACATCGATCAGAGTGGGCAGACAGTGGTATTGATGCTTACTCTGCTGCTGCTGTCAAAGCTGGTCCCTGTAGCTTGCCAGTGTCTCGAGGTGGAAGTTTTGGGGGTCAGGTCATTCTTCCACTGGCTCACACGATTGAGCATGAAGAGGTAAGTAACATGATACTGAATTTTGGCACTTACATTATAGTCCTAAGCTTCAATTAAAAAGTATCCTAAAAATTGCTATCACTTTTTTGTTACAGTTCATGGAGGTCATCAAGCTTGAAAATATGGGCCACTATCGTGACGACATGATCATGCCTGGTGATATCTTCCTATTGCAGGTACTTAAGCTTTCACCAATCATCCCCTAAAAATCCAAAAAGAAAAAAAAACTGATGTTATCTTTAGTTTGCTCATTAAACTCTTCAATTGATTTTTATTGTTGATTTATGCTTTTTCTCGTTGTATGAATCTCTCAGCTTTGTAGTGGTGTTGATGAGAATGCGGTTGGCACCTGTGCTGAACTCATCTTTGCTCCCATTGATGCCTCATTCTCTGACGATGCGCCTATAATTCCTTCTGGTTTCCGCATCATCCCCCTTGATTCTGGAATGGTATGTGTTTATCATGTATGATATTTTATAAGATTCTATCTTTCATTGCCCTTGTTTTTGCTTTGTTTTAATTTTTATTGAAGCTAATTGAATTTAAATGTAATGTAGGATGCCTCTAGTCCAAATCGTACACTTGACCTTGCCTCTACTCTTGAAGTTGGAGCTGCCGGAAACAGAGCAACTGGTGATCATTCTGGTCGTTGTGGGAGCACAAAATCTGTGATGACAATAGCATTCCAATTTGTGTATGAGATCCACCTTCAAGAAAATGTGGCAACCATGGCTCGACAATATGTTCGTAGTATTATTGCCTCTGTTCAAAGGGTAGCATTGGCACTCTCTCCCTCCCGCTTTGGCTCCCATGCTGGTTTTCGGACACCTCCTGGTACTCCTGAAGCACAGACACTAGCTCGTTGGATTTGTGACAGTTATAGGTATGTCCTTATTATTCATTTTTTATCCCATTCCCCGGAGATCTGGACCTAATTTTTAGTTGTTAAAATGAGTATGCCATTTTGAATTTATGTTTACCAATATTTCTGGATCTTTTTACAGGTGCTATCTGGGGGTAGACCTGCTCAAAAATGAAGGAAGTGAATCCATTCTAAAAATGCTTTGGCATCATACAGATGCAGTTCTGTGCTGCTCTTTGAAGGTATTTATATAAAAGTTTGATTGTTTTTTCTCCCAAGTGAATCATGGTCCTTTGGAATCTAGTTATATGTTAGCTTTATAATCCACAGCCTGGAAATTGTTCTTCTCGGTAACACATTATAGTTTTCATCCTCTTCCTAGCTGCTTTTGTGCTTTTACTTAGCTATAATTACAGAAAGCATACTTAGTAATGACTGGAAATAATTGCTAGTTAGACTGTTGATGCCAGTTTGCTTTCCTGTAAAAGCTTTCTTTACCCTTCTCTTTTACTGTGTCTTTATTGTCTCCTCATCTTTCTGCTACACCTAGTATTATAAAGTATAACCTACTTGGTAATATATGCAGGCGCTGCCAGTTTTTACATTTGCCAATCAAGCAGGACTTGACATGCTTGAAACAACCTTGGTAGCACTTCAGGACATAAGTTTGGAAAAGATTTTTGATGAGAATGGACGAAAGGCCCTATTTGCAGAGTTCCCACAAGTAATGCAGCAGGTATAATATTCTTTGAAATGAATGACATATTGGCACAAAAAAATTATGTAGATAAATAGAAAAGATAAAGAAAATCTGAAATCTTCATCGCCATGAGAAAACATCTAGTTATTAACTTATTATTCAGTCTTACAACTACAATGCATATGTGATATAACACAAGTGGTGATTCACTTCTTACATTAAGGTCCTATTGTATTTGGAAATTATGCTAATGTGAGTCCATTAGCTTATATCAGTCTCAACCACAATTACCAACTAGAGCTAAGGTGCATTGGAATGGGATGTTAAATGGGAAAATGAATTATAAGCAAGAGACATTCTGCATGGTTGGTTACCTGCAAAAGAACTATATTAACTGTCAGCTTGCACTTTGCTTGCTCTAGATTTGATTGTATGGATGAAAAGAATTGTCATCGACTCAAAAATTTTATCTTTAAATCGATTGCTTTCTTTTGAGATATATAGTTGATCATTGTTTGCCCTCTGTTCTGGTTTCTGGTGGAGCAGGGATTTATGTGCCTTCAAGGTGGTATCTGCTTGTCAAGCATGGGGAGGCCAGTCTCCTATGAGAGAGCAGTTGCTTGGAAAGTGGTAAATGATGAAGAAAATGCTCACTGTATCTGCTTCATGTTCATCAACTGGTCTTTTGTATGAAAATTTGAACAGAAGATAGGATATATAGATCAAAAGTAGATTAGAAGAAGCTCCTTTTTCCTTTTTAGTCGTTTTAGTATGGAGAAACCTTTAAGTGATATGCTACTGTTACAAGGATGTTGCACCAAATGGTATCTGGCGCCTCGATGTTGGTTACCCCATTTTTTGTATTTGGTTCATGCTTAATTGATTGATCACCATCGTTGCCCCCCTCTTTATGTTCTCTTTTCCACGTTTCCTTCTTTCTTTGTTCTGAAAAGTTGATCGTGGCCTCCTCTTTGCTCTTTTTAATATTAAGATGTCACTTCACTGTTTGTATGTCTATATGCCTATACATGATTAGGGACCTTTAATGAGCTTCACATTGTAGAATTTCCTGTCTCATTTTGCCCTTTGTTTTATGGGATGGTTTGCTTTCTCCACCCAATCATGGTTGAACGCGGATCCCTAGCAATGGACTGTGACCCCTCTTCAATAATGCTTCTGGTCTTTTTCTTCCTTCTGCTACATCTACTGAACTGTTGCAGAAAAGTCAAGAGCCTATGACACTACCCCTCTTGTAATGCAAAAAGACCTAACTCAACCTTTTGATTTTCTCCCCTCAAATCCAATGCCTGGTATTCATCTATCTTGCTTACTCAGACATTTCATTAACTTGATTTAGTAGAAAGAAAAAGGGTTAAAAAGCATAGTAAGAATAAGGGAAAGACCCAACGGGTGCCAGTGATGGATTTAGTGTATTAAGGTTTATTCTTAGGTTCTACTAAGCACATCCCTATTAGGAATCTCACCTGATATGAAGACAATGCACGTATTGACACATATATGTCATTTTCCTGTGAAAACGCTTTACAAAAGAACAAGAAGTTGAGCAATCTAACATGGGTATCTAGGCATAGATCCCATAATATTACTTAACCCATTTTTTTATACCGTAAATGGCAAATACGTCTATCAAATCTGATATAGCTGATAAACAAAGCTTCTTGAAATGTGTAACCAGATAAGGAATCATGAACCCCACCATGATGAACCTGTCCAACTTCTTTTGATCCTTTTGCTTCAGATTCAAAACTGGGCATGACCCTCTATCCTTTTTTCCTATCTCTTCCCTAGTGTGGAGCAGCACTATGTTGTAGGATTGGAAGACAAGAACATGTCATCTCCCAAGTCCCAACTCATAATGTGCTTTGCTAAAGACTTCCACTAAAATAATATGATTATCAAATGTTCCATATCCTTCCATTCCTTAGACTTGTTTCCATTAACTGACCTAGCAAGTGGTCAAAGTACACTTGATCATCAGAGATATTTTATCCTTGCTTATTGAGACCGATTCACTTTCTTTTGATCTCTTCCACAAAGAATTAGCCTATTTAAAGACTGAAAAATGATGCAGTCTTATCATCTGTATATTCTTCCCCTTTATGTTTGAATCATTGGTCTAAATTTCCTTCACATCTTCAGTCAATGTCAATCCTTGTAAGCTGTTAGTGAATTAATGTATTGGGAAGTTGTCAGTTATCACTCTCACCTTCATCCACTAATGATTTCAAGATTATTCCATTCTTGAACAATATTTAAACCTTACATCTATGAAGTACCTCTCTTGCCAACAACACTAGATATCCATCTTTCAAAACCAATCAAAGCCAATTTTCTTAATATCAGGAAAATCCCGTCATTTCTTGCATGGATATTACACTATGTTCACTTGTTTTATGTTATAGCTTCAATAATTGGTTAACAATAACGTGGATAATTCAATGCTGGAATTGTCTTGGTGACCAACTCGGCCAATCAAAATTATGGAGTTATGTGGCCCAGCATTTGACTGTTTCCCCCACACATGGCCCCTGAGGTACTTTCTGTCTTGGTGCAGAAATTGCAAATCCATTATGAACCCAAAGTAGACAACCCAAATGCTTAACATTTCATTTATGAAGAAAAATAAACATCAAATTAATTGTTAATTTATACTCCAAGGTCCCTAACTAATTCCAGTAAGTTGCGGCCTGCAAACTTCGACTAGTATTAGCATGAAACTTGAAACCCAGAGAGGAGCATTGCAGGCTAACCACCTTTGCAGTTTGCCCCCACTCCTGCACTCCAAACACATGGTTGGCAGTAATATACAGTACTAGGTTCACACACAGCCATCTGGTGCACACCAAAAACAAGGTGCAGCCACCCCATGTACCAAACCTCAGAACTCGAAACACAGGAGCTTGTTGCACACCTGCAACCCGCAAGTTACCAACAACTTTTTCTGACTAGTATCATGTAAGATAGTAACATAAAATTAAAATGAATGGGAAAACGGTTCTTGGTCTCGATAGATCTCACTTGACAAGTATTGTTTTTCATTGTTATGAATATGGATGAAACTAAAAGTGAAGATATCAATGTATTGACTTGATATGATAAAAGGTTGGATTAAAGTGTAAGTGGCCGGATGTAAGTTGACATATTGTTTAAAAGGAAGAGGGAAAAATGTTAATGACATGTAGTTTACTAGCAAGTGAATTAAAAGGTAACCGTAAAGGACCAAATCCTTATCAACTGGCTTCTAGTCTATAAATGGGAACGTCAATCGATGGAAAAGTTGTTTTAATATGTCTCGGGGAGCTAGGGGTGTTGGCTGATTTGATATTCGTTGACCCTTGCCCTGTAATCAATCTATGGGGAACAAAGGCTTGTGGAGTAAAGTTTGAGACAGGCTAAAAACGCATTATTTACTTTTTCGATGAATAATTTTGACATTATGATCGACAAGTTTCACACGACTGAAGACTTATTTCAATGGTAAAACTGTATGAAACAGCGATTTTCCGGTTTCATTACTGACTCTTTGAGTATTTTAGCCCTCATTGGCTATGAGTGAAGCTTCCATTCCCTTATCAATAATGCTCAATTCCATGGATGCTGGCCTGGTTAAGCATAAGATAACAAATAATGGGAACAGATTGGTCAAACTGAAACAGCACAATCACCCCACTTTTGATTTCTCCACATCAAACTCCATAGATTGTGTTAAGTGGGTTGTTGCTGCGATATCCAATAGGATGCACGTGTATCCAATTATTGTTCTACATTAAAACTCGAGAACAAAGAAACAGCTGTCTTAGAACAAAGAAACAAATGAAAAATGTTCTGTTTTTGTGATGTGCAAAAGATAACTTTTGAAGGAGAAAAGAGGGAGGGGAAGGTTCAAAGAGATCATCAGCACCTTTGCACCAGTGAATCAAAAGAAAAATTTGTAGGGAAGAAAAAAAAGGGGAGCTTTTTGAATAGAAGAAAGCAGCCCAAGGGCCTTTTGCATGGTCTCCAAGAAACCATAATTGATATCTTGAGGCTTTTAAGATAACAACATTTCAAAAATCATATCTCTGCCAGCAAAACTGAGCTGGTTTGCTCCTTGTAATGTCAGCTAGTTTTATATTTTTATGCTTAGACTGATCTTTAGTGGTGGAATCTTCTAACAATGTGAGCAGCTCTCTCCCCCTGAGTTCTGATTGATCAACAAAAGAGAAAAAAAGGGTTCTTGTCAATACCATCATTGCTTGGGGAGAAATGGAAGTGAAAAAGAACAAAAGGAAAACCCTAAACATCATCATTGCCACATTGAAGGCAAAAGTTGGTCACAAGAAAGGTTTGTGGACACGCCCTGGTTGGAAAGAAAAGAGCCCCATCTAAATTGCCTTCTTCTTTTGACCCCTAGTGGAGTGTGTGTGTGTGTATATATATATATATATATATATATAGTGTTATGTATAGTACTATTATTAGCAAATAGTATTAGCTTGATTCTTTTTGAATTTTTTTTTACTTTTTTATGATTTTTGCTTGATATATATACCCTTTTTTATTTTGTCTGGTTTCATTGAAGTGGAATACTAAAAGGATTAAGAAACTGCTTATAATTTTAAACTAAAATAGCTTATAATTCAGTTTTGAATGCATGCACTGATATGTAAAGATCAACAATCATTGATAATGATTTAGTTTAACAGAAAGGACAATTTGATCTCTTAATTTGAAGACATGAAGGGTTCAAACTTTTATAAGAAAGAATTCAAATGATCCCTTTGAACACTCCTAATTATGAAACTGTTCTGTACAGTTCTTCAGGGCTCTAGCTAGTTCAAGTTTCAAACACTTGAAATTTATTTTTGAAAATACTGGGCATTAATTTCTTATCAAAAGGAACCTAGGATTAGCTCCTGTTGCTTATGATTCACTGCATGTGATATGATTATAATGTTGTAGGTAATTAAGTTAGTATATTCCATCATAAGGAAGACATGAAACCTTGATTATATTATGCAATGAAATATTAAAAATCCTTTGACCAGTTTCTGTGAAGGAAAAAGGCTGCAGGGCCCTTGGAATGCGAGGTTAAAAGGATTAAAGGCAACATTTTCAGCAGCTGCCTGCTTCAATGCCTCGGCTAGCTTTTTACATGCAGCAATGTCGAAGTGATTGTAAACCAGTACCAGTTGGCCATTTCTCCCATTCCAAAAGAGAGTGTTCCGACAATGGGACAAACAATATCATCAAACCATCAGGATTACAGTACAGTGGTCCCCTTTCAGCATGAGTAATGTTCCTGTTTTCTAGCTCTTTGACCTAACCGGCTGATCAGAACCTTTCACCTGCTATGGTCTCTGCTCAAATTGAGTGATGTAGTAGGGAAAACAGATAGCTGCTGGGCGTGAACCAAGCCTTGCTATGCCGTTGAAAGCAAAATTTAACCTGCAAACAAAGACATTATATATATACTCGTATGCTGTATCTCAACTACAGCATTTTCTCAGCACTTTCTGTACCTCACAGGATTTTTCCATACCACAAATTTCAAAACTGTATCTACATCTAATTTGCCCATGCCCACCCAAATTCGCTTAGTAAATTGTGAAAATAACTTTTGACTTTTGGTGTAAGCATGAGCTAGTATTAAACAATTTTATGGGAAGAAACAACAAACAAGGCGTGACTCTTTGGATATGGCCCTTTGGATAATAGCAGAGAATGTCCTTTTGCTAGGAAATCAATGTCCACTTGAGAATTTAACTAGTCAACAATATGATAATTACCAATGTGAAAGTGAATATGTTTAACTCGGTAGTTTGTTGAACCCATTGCAGCCTGCCCATGCCAACAAGACTGTAAGGTGGAAAATCTTTGAGCCCATCATGATGGAAACGAACAGAATATAGGTGAAAAGAAAACAAAAAAAAAACTGAAGAGAGTTGGTTGGCAGAGGAGGGGACTTGGTTTGAGCCTAACATTACAAACAAAAGTGTAAAGAAAAGGGTCAAAATTCCTACAAGAATAACGGAAGACAAAAAGAAAAGTAGAGAGGAAAGGTAGGCCATGATGTCGAGTCCAAATCCATGTGAACTCTACTCCCATATGCCATTTCCATGTTTAAAACCAAGCTGTAAAAGATGATAAAAGAAAACAATGCGCTGTGTATTAGCCATTCATAGGTGGGAAAGCAAGACAGACGTCTAATCTTCTCCTTGACCCAAAAAACAAAAGTATTTCTCCGCATGACAGAAAAGAGTCAGTTCTCCAGTGGGATATCCACTTAACCAGGATTCCCACCAAAGCATTAGTCTTTTAGATATTAGTTCATGCTTAGCACCAACAATCGAATTTTAAGATTAGGTTTATACATCTACACATCGTTCTTTCCTGGTAATTTGAATACCCTTGCATTCTCCTCTACCTAAAGTAGGGAAAAGAGAAAAAGGGGTAACCCCCCACCTGTCGCCTTTGATTTACAAGGGTGGCTCACTGGGTGTTTACGAGCTATACTTAGACCACGAGTCATAATCATGCGCCATAAAGTATTGCCATGATGAGCTAGGTAAGAAAGAAGAGATCTTGAAAGATAAAAAGGAAGAAAAGTAAACTGTAATTCATATAATGGCATTTAGTTTATCTACATTTGTTACACTCGGTAGTATGTATTCAACATACCATCAAACAAAACATTTGAGTGACAATCATTTAATACCTTAATTTATAAACCTTATACTAGAAACCAAGGGGGGGCAAAAAGGAAGGAGGAAAATTAACCCAACAGGTAAAAATTCTGAACAAAAATCATGCTATCATTATTTAGAAAGCCTAAACAGGTGAAGAAAATTTTAGGCCTGGGACACAAGAACTTATTCTGAAAGCGGACTCTAGGGTTTTCGATACGTCGCTTGCGCATGGCCGAGCAGCGGGGTCGCCGGCCGTGCAATGGAGAGCTAGATTCATGGTGACAACGATCTGGTTCTGGTTGTTGGATGCTTGAGCCCTGATAATGGGATCTACCCACACATCAAGATGACAATCCGAGTAGCAGTAACGGGCCCACTCCACCATGCTCTGCTGCACTCCGAATTCAGCATCCGCAGGAGTTTTCCCCGTCAAAAGTTCAATCAGAATGAGGCCGAATCCATAGATATCACTCTTTTCAGTGATATCTTTGCTTTCCCTGGCTTCTGCAACACAGGAAAATATGGACAACCAGACATTAGCAAAACGTGCACGTGCATGGATTTGTAGAATAATATATATAGTAATATTACTACTATCATTGCAGCCCAAGCTTTACCGCTGTATCTTTGCTTGCTCTTAAGACAAGTTCCTTCGAGTAAAGTTCGCAACCAAAAGATTTTCCCTATCCCCAGTGACGTATATTTCTAAAATTTTCTACTAATTATTTCATTTCTGATGCCTTCGAATTATGGGTTCTTGAATTTGGACATCATAAATACTTTCAATGTGATCTTATCGTAACATGGCATGCACCAAAAAGAATAAACAGGAGCTTGATGAAACTACTCAGAAGGGTTTAAAGTATCTAAGAGCCAGACATAATAATATCTCATAATACGAGGTTTGACTGATGAATATTTTGCCTAGAAAAATTTTCATATGCGACAGAATTGAATAATTAAGCTGGGGCATTATTACTTCCCACAGGGGAAATTTTCTAACCACCACCCCAAAAAGGAAAATAGTATTATTCATGTACCTGGGGCAACGTACGCCGAGGAAATGAAGCGCTTGTTTTCTACGCAACCCAGCCCAGGCAGGCACAACGTTAGCCGAGGCTCATATTTTCCATCGATGATAACTCGGTCCGGTGACATGTTTCCGACGAGTATACCCGGCGAACAATAAGAGTGCAAAAAGCGTAGAGCTTTGGCGATGCCGATAGCAATTGTCCGCCGCCTCTCCCAGCTCAAGTTGTGAAGGATTTCACCTAAAATTTTCCCTTCTATGTACTCGTAAACCAAATATGCACCCTTGTTCGACCGACATATCCCGATTAATTTAACGATATTTGGATGGTGAAGCTTGCCAATTTGTGCGATTTCAGACCAAAAACTTGCTGGAATTGAGCTCACATCGGTCATTTCTTTCACGACAAATTGCAAATCATTTACAACCGACTTCCCTTTGAATGGCGTGCCTAATTTCTTGCCTTTAGAAATAACGCTTACTTCTTTGGCAGATGGTATAATGTCATCAATTGTAACTGACTTTGAAACCTTGGAATCAAAGAATTGCAATTCCCATATTCCATCTTCATTTTCCACTCTTTTCGGCTCCAAATTGTTTCTTCCTCGAATGAATACTAGGCCAAAAGCAGCAAGAGAAAGCAACACTAAAGCGGCAAGAGTGCAAGCAATAAAAAACCGCCAAGGCGGATTCTTAACCTTTTTGCATGGTGATAAACCGCTCGTGTCATCTCCTCCACAAAGATCATTACCAGCAACTGCACTCGCGTTTATAGCAAGAAAGGCCCCGGTAGACGGTAAAGTACCATGTAAATGGTTGTGAGAAATATTTACTTGGACCAGGGATTCCAATTTCCCCAACTTTGGTGGTATTTCACCAGATAACTGATTCTCCGATAAATCAAGCTGACCAAGAACTGGCATTTCAGAGAAACCAGATGGAATATGCCCACTCAGTTGGTTATGTCTGAAGTCTAGACTCACAAGCTTCTTGCATGAAGATAATTCCTCGGGGATTTCACCAGTCAGCTTGTTTCCACATAGGCTTAATTGCATTAGTTCTGTTAAGCTCCCAAAACTACGTGGAATAGAACCTGAAAGCTCGTTTCCGGACAAGTCCAGGTCCTCAATCTTTTGGCTACCAAATGAGTAAGGCAATTTTCCGGAGAATCTGTTTGTTGCCAAATTCAGCATTTCAAGTGACGGCATGTCCCATTTTCGCTCTCCAATGTTGCCAGAGAGATTGTTGTTGGAGATATCCAAGTAGTATACGAGAGGCAGCTTTGTGAACTCTGAAGATAACTCGCCAGACAGACGATTGTTTTGAAGCCTTACTCGCTGCAAACTTGTGCAAGTGCTCAAATTCTTCGGAATGACACCTTCAAGCAAATTTGAGAAAAGAATGAGCTTAAAAAGACGACCCGAGCTGCAAAGTCCATCTGGTATTCGTCCCGTGAGATTATTGCCGGAGAGGTCGAGAACCGTGAGATTATTATGTCTTCCAAGACTTGTTGGAATCTCACCTGACAAACTGTTGGACCAAAGTTGAAGGACTTGAAGACGAGGCAAAGAAGTTAAAGCATTTGGAATTTTACCCGTAAAGCTATTGGAAAAAAGATGAAGAATCTCCAGGTTTTGCAACTGAATAATGAGTTCTGGGATCTCACCAGATAATGAATTATCACTAAGATCAAGAGAAACCAGCTTTTTGAGACCAAAAATGGACTTTGGAATCGAACCAGTGAGCTTATTTTGGTAAAGGAAGAGATACTGAAGATCGCCAAGTTTTCCCAGGGAGGATGGGATTTCACCTGTGAGGTTGTTGTAGACAAGATCAAGATGATTCAAGGAAGTTAACATACCGATTTCTTTTGGAATTTCACCGGAAAGATTGTTGTAGCCCAAGTATATCCACTGCAAGCTCTTCATTTTGCCTACTCCATGGGGAATTGGGCCAACTAATTGGTTTGAAGCCAAAGTCAAGAACTGCAAAGTGGTGATGTTTGATATCGAGATTGGAATCTTCCCGACTAAAACATTCCCACCAAGATCAAGAAACGTTAGATTATAGAACGATCCAATTTCTTGTGGGATTGTCCCGGAAAGCATATTGTTTGAAAGATCCAACACCTCAAGGCGGGAAATGGAACCACTTGGTATTTGACCGGTGAAATTATTGTTACTAAGGTTGAGAAATCGAAGTGAAGAGGAGGAAAATATATCCAGAGGAATTTCACCATCGAGCTGATTGCTGGAGAGATTCAAAGTTTGAATATAAGGCAAGTGGAAAATTGATGGAGAAACTAATTTCCCGGATAAGTTTTTAGCAGAAAGATCAACCGTGTCGACATGCGACAAATTATTGCAAGTGATACCGTGCCACTGGCAAAAGGTGGCAGAGGAATCCCATTTGGACAGGAAGCCAGAAGGATCATGGATTGAAGACTTGAAAGACAAAAGAAGCTCAAGTTCTTTACCATAGGACGCCCGAAAATTGAAGAACAAGAACATGAACACGAACAAAAGTACCGGCAGACATGCTTTAGCTCCTTTCTTTGCCATCTCCTATAACATCTACCAAAATATTTCAGAGTCTCGACTCTGCCTCCACCAGAGATGATATTGGATGCAATTCCACCGATCCCGAGCTGTTTTGAAAAGGCCAGAAAAGAAAAAGAATTCAATACATTAACAAAACATTCTACTTCAGCATATTAATTATTCAAATAATTTAACTTACAATATGTGCATGAATCTGTACTCAAATAAAGCACAACGTCAAGTGGAGTTAAGTGACAGAGTCTGCTAAGCCATTAATATAAAGAAGAAAAACATATTTACAACTGGAATTAATGATATGATTGTCAATCCAAGGAGAGACTGATTAATTAAGGAACATGCATCACATGAAAACTTTATGCTAAGCAGAACTTAAATCCCAAAACGGCAATAAAAATATTGGTGAAACATCCAGTAACGTACCTAAATGTAATCATTAGATTACAGTAAATTTCCAAGGATTAATGGGATTTTTGTCACAGAGAAGAAATTAGGAAGATGAGAAAGGAGGTTATAGTTTGCTTCTTTTTTTGGGAGGGGGAGGGGATGGTAGGGTGAGAGAGAGTTAGAGAATTATAGTGTATAAATAGATTGGTGGTCGGAAGGGTATGGGAAGTGGGCATTGAATTAGGAGATATTTACGACATTGCAACTTGACTTGCCTTTGAATGATCTCTTGAAACACGAACGGTTTGAAAGGGAAACCAGGGACACATGTTGGAAAAGCCTCTGATTTTGTCGGATATTACCAAAATGCTCCTTTGACTGAATTGGAATAGTGACAAGGATTTCTGTAACCGTTGAAAAGCTTGATCAGAGCTTTCGTTTTGATTCATTTATGGCCTTTGATATTGTACTTATTTACTAGAATGTGACTGACACATGCTTTGCTTTCCTTTTTGTACAGATAGAAACTTCATTTATTTAGTATTATATCTTAGCAGTCGGAGTAAAAATGATGTTTACTGAATGTAAAACCACATTCTTTCGAGTCATATTAAGTGGGTAACTATTGGCAATGATCCATGGTTTTTTTCTCGGTCAAAATTAACTTTTAGAAGAAATTCTTGGGGGCAGCAAGATGTTGGTCAGAGCCCAAGAGGAGTGATGATACTTGTACTAGTAGAAGGCACAAAGGAGTGAGATTAATGTAGTAATGTTATAGCCAGTGTTATCAGCTGTTCATGCCGTATGCTGGTTCTGGATGTTAACGTGGGCAATGAAAATTATTAGTAGTGGCATTGATAATTGGAATGAAGTGTCCACTAACTTAATTAGTACTAATAATATTATCTTTTACATAAATAATTCTATGGACGTATTTAAAGTTAAATTTTATAATCTCGGTTAAATAAAAAAATTAGGGTTTAAGATAATATACATAAAAAGATTATTTTATATGGGTTTATATTTGATACATTTTCAGTTTATAAATTCTATACACTATTAATAACCAAGTGTTATTGTTTTATTAATCTTTTTAAAAAACTGTATTAATTTTTTTTGAAAAATAAAAATTAATATATTCATTGTAACGGAACTACAGGTGCTGGTGCACGTCTCTAGACTAGCAAATTGGCAAAAGACTTGTTACAGTGAATTAATTACAGACCACAATCATCCCTAATTCAGGCTCTGAAACACTGTCTTACAAGAGAAAATATAGGATAGCCAAAATCCATTTGAAAGTATACTTTTATAAAATTAAATGATAATGTATAGATATTATATATTAATAGTATATCATATATAACTCGTATTATTGATATTTATGTTTATGTAGTGGATTTTAAGAGGGAATTAAACAAGGAGGGAAATGTATTAATTGAAATTAAAAGCTAATACTGATTAACTAGACATGAACAATCTAAATCAAATCATTTCTGGGAAATGAGAACTGGTTACATATATTTGGTAAGTTTTAGGGTCGAGAAGGGGTAACATGGAATGAGAAATAGACTGTTTTTGGGTAAACGAAAGGGGGGCATTAACGTTTCCCTATCATCATTTACGACAAGTCTTGGCTGGGAATTCTCTAATCATTAAAGCATTCTACTGATGTGTTGTCATTGGTTATTTATAATACTTTGTCAGAAGAAATTATGACAAATTATTAATTCAGATGTTATTCTCTCCTTCACTTACTTTTGTCATCAATATATCTTTAACTGATCATGGTAAAAAAGAACAAAAAAAGGAAAGAAACAAATGGGTTTTGGATAGTAATTCTACTGCAGAACTGAGGGGCTGCTTGGCAGGAGAGAAAAGGGAATGAATCAAATGAGCCTTCACTGGGGTACGTAAAAGCAGAACTCTCCAACCCCTTTTGTTTGGACTCTCTACATAATTATCTTGGATTCTCCCCCCTCTCAGTAAAGAAAAAAAAAAGGAAAAGAAAGAGAAAGACATCACCCTTTTAGACAGAGAGTACAAGCAAACAGAAGGAGTTACAATTAAGTGAGAGCGAGCTAAGCAAACAGGAATAAGAACGTCAGTGGGGTTGAACGTAAAAAGTTGAATAAAAGCAAAGAAAGAGAGGAATTAGTCATGGAGGCAGATAGATAGAGAAGAGTGTACATGGTAAAGCAAAGGAAAAGCAGAGGAATGAAAAGAAAAGTTAGGTGTCTTTACGTTACACTAAATGCTCGTGCGCTCTCTCTCTTTCTCTCTCGCTCTTTCCCTGGGGCTTTAAGGGACCCCACCATCTCTTTCTCGAAGGAATATACAGTGTGTGGTCTTTGTCACACCCGGCATGCTTTCTTCGTTCTCCATTTTCTAGGGTTTTACAACAACCTTTCCCTCCTTATTAGCCTTTGTTAGCCTCGCCCCTTTGGCCTAGTCCCTCCCCCTTTTGGGCAATTAAATTAAAACCCCTGATTAAGTGCCCTTTTCCTATCAAATAATTGATGCATGTTAACAAAATATATATGTATGTTGTACAAGTAAAGGAATATGGATATCTGTATTTGTGTCTTTACGTGTGATTTATTGCTATTCCACTTCATGACTTCCCCATTAAAATGGGGTAGAAGAATATTATACAGCTCTTCGTCAATTTTGAATTAAATTCCCAAGAAACCCCCACCTTTCGAGATTTATATACTATATGATATTAAATGTAGTCCATAATCAAAGAGAGCATATTCATTTGGTCTGTTAATTTTATACGTAAGTGCGATGAATATATAATCCCACTACGTGACTGGAATTGAGGGGCACGAGGAGTCCATGACTCTAGTTTTGGTTGTCTGAATTGAGGGGCAATTACCGGCTTGTTTTGGGCATAAACTGGGGGCAGGAATTGTGCTGGGTAAGAAGGAAAAGGAGGACATCTGCTGTAATGGCTTAGCATTCTCACACACAGTTCTAAAGGAGCTAAAAACAGAATTATATCTAGCTCTAATATCCCAGCAATCATCTGAAAGACAGCTTTAGAAGACTTAGATTTACTAAGATACTTCTATGCATTATGTTCCTTTTAATTATGGTATATACATGTAGTCAAAGTTTTTTCTTTAAAAGCGAATTTCAGATATGAAAAGTTGGAAAGAACTACACAAATGTTGACTCAAGTCTATTACTATAACTGTAGACTCGATGCAACATTACAGTACTCTAAATGAGCTGTCAAAATTAATTTTTTTAAAAAAATAGATAAAAGTTAGAGATTTTCCTTTCAAACGATGACAATCCCATATATATCTTAATAAATTAATGAATCCTAATAATGCTCTTTTAAACTACAAGAGAAGTCGAATTCATCAATTATTCTTAATCTTAGTGGAACTCCTGTCATCGACTGCTGATCATGTACGATATGTGGAAACCAATTGTCTTACATATAATCGGTTATTTTCATGCCTTATGGTATACTTTTAATATAAGAAGGTGGGCTCATCCCAATTGCCTGATTCAGTTCAATATTCTCTTTGTAAGACAATATTATAAAGTTGATTTATACCAATATGCTGTAAAGGGCATTAAGAACTATAAATCCAAAAATAGGTTTTAGTGCTTCCACTTGTCCTTATACTAATTAATATCTCACTCACTTTTGATCTTATACTTTTCTTTTGATCATACATATTTTATTTTTACTTAAAATCTCTTTTTTTTCCTTTTCTTCCGAACGATCTAATGAGGCATGCATGACGTGGAGCCGACCCATATCCCTTGAATAAGGGTCTCGACCCTCTTTTGAAATGGTTGTAGGGTTTCGTGTTCTTAGTTAGTGGTCCACAGTGGTCGATAAGGTTTGAAACTTTAACATTGCTTTGGCTAAAATGACTATTAGCAGGAACTTGGAAATCCACTTTCTTTCCACAAAGAATAAATTTTCTATGCATTGTGATCAACAAATGTCGGGCGTAAGGGTCCACTCAGATTATAACGTTGATTATTACGTTAGTGAGTCAAATTGAATGGTCACATGGCAGCCTGAAGCCAGTGTCACACAGCCTGTATCAAAATTGATGTTCTTCATCCAAAAAGCCAAGAAAGATACTGAAAATTGTAGACAATCTCTGAATCTCTTTGGCTTTGCACATGAAAACCATCAAGGAACCTTTCCCATTTGATGATTTAAGTTGAAAGTGGGAATGACAACAGAAGCTAGCTACCTAGCTAGCTTTTCAACAAGGGAATGCATGCATGCCTGCACGATTGAAATTGGTTTGGGGTCTTTGCTTTATCAGCTCTAGTTCTATTTCTTTACGTAGCACTCGGGGGAATGAACTGAAAGGAATCTCTTTCGGACCACTATATGAATTTATATACAATGTATATTACTTTGATAGACAGGAATCTGGGGTTCAAAGTCTTTTTGCGATCCTTCCATATATTCTACAAGCTAATCATGTCACGTTCCCCAATTTGACATTAAGAAAAGTTTAACCGACCATCCTTTTTAGTTGCCTGCTAAATTATCTAGCTTTCCTTTCTAACAGTTTTCAATGTTAATTGTTATTTTTTCTTGATACAACAAAGTTCAAATTTGATTTAAAAGACAAAAAATCTTTATACATACGTACATAAACTTTGATCTACCTTTGGATCGAAGAATTTGTAATCTACAAAAGAGCTGGATTTTGAATTTTTTGTTTCATGGTAGTTCAATAATATTTAATTTATTATACTGCGAGAAACCATGATGTAAAGTATAGTTAAAAAGTTAATTTTAGATTTAATTTAAGGAAAAACAAAATTAGTAAGCCTCGTTGCCTTCTTGAGTCTAATTAGCTCAATGTCATTTTCATGGTGGACACTCTGATTTGAATATTCAGAAGAGTAGTCCAATCAAATGACTAAAATATTCAAGTGTTTTTAGAAAGGTCGGTCCATCATTCACGCTTTTAAACCCTAAAGTTTGAGTCTATCACACGTGTGGGCTATTCACGTTCTATATGAGATTTTGCACCAACTAGAGCTTACTTTGCTTAATTTTGCACAATAATTTGGGGATTTGAGAATTGGGGCCGTCAAGCAATAATGACGCTCGAATAATGAATACGAATGAACCTCTTATTTTAGACTGAGGTCCTACCGGTATAAGTCTCGTTTGGATGGGGCACAGCTTTCGCATGTGATAGGCTCAATATTAAGCCCATTACCATTCAGTTCAAAGCCTGAGTTGGCCACAAGGTTAAGCCCATATCTGTTCAGTCTATAGCCCAAGGAGAAAAGGATTCGGACTTACTCTTTTAACGGGAAAGAACGACGATCATGCAACTATCACTGATTCAAAGTCTATGGTGCAAATCGTTTTAGCTGTTGAGCTTGTAGTTTCTTGATGATGGCAACTTCCAAGTGTAGCTGAAGTTTCCAAATGTATATGGAAGTCATGCCACCTATATTTTTCGGCATCCATTCATGATGACCTCAGGCTTTCAAGGAAGAAATAGGGACAGGAGCGATAGATTTCACCCCGCAGACAAAAATGAAGCTAGCTGTTTAATGTGATATGGAGCAAAGAAAAGTAACGGACATTGTGGAGTTATTCACCTTAGTTACAACTATATACTATTACATTGAAGTTACCAATATACGTTGACAACAACAAGAGAAATTGCCAACTTGTACGAATCAATTCGTCATCCTCTGGAGGAAAAGCATCAAATGGATTAAACCATTTAGTGTTTGAAATCGATCTTTGGGACACAGCTACTGCTCCTAGCAATATTTGGAGCTGACAAGCTCTTGGAACTTCGATTCTTGTTGCTTCTTTTGGCTATATCCCTCATTGCACAAGTCAATGAGAGTTTGGGGTTGAGTCTCGTAGTACTATTGTATTTCTGGCAAAATTCCCTGTGAAACCTCACTGCATCTTGCATGGCTGTGTCCGGAGCTTGACGTAACCTTTCTTTTACAACCTCAGAGCAAAGGCCGCAGACCCATATGCCACAATGGCAACCCCTGACTCTAGTGATGTAATCCGTGGTGCAATCCTCTTTGAGTCCACAGCATTCGCATTCTGCTTGCTTCACCAGTTGATCGTCAACTGAAGAAGATTCTAACGCTGTATACTTTTCGATTTCCGAAGAAACATCAGACACCGCCTTCCGAAGAAGCCTTTGCTCACTCTGTAGGAAGACAGAGAATTATGAATTCGAACCAACGTAAAGAACGAATAGTTAAGAAGAAAAAGAAGCAACAATATTGTAACTAAGGCTAAAAAAATGAATACCATGACTGAAAACAGTTGGGGATGATTCTTTAATTGGTTACAAATATTGGCTTGAAGGAAGCAAATTTATTTATGCGTATTTACATGAAGAGAAAACAGTCGATTGAGTTTCAAATTAGGATATATATAAAGAGAGAGAAGAAATCAATCAACAGTATTAGGTTGAGGGAGGTACATACGTATGATCATGAGAAGGTCTAGCTGTTCAATACCGTTAATCTTTTACACTTTACAGGCAGAAATATCAGTATTCTCTTTATCTATTGATGTGATGAATCACTTTTCATGCCATAAAACACTGCCAAATGGTACCACTTGCAGTGAGATGGTGTGCTGCAATTTGGAGGAGCAGATAGCGATGCGAGATGTGATGGGGAAAGACTACATGCACGCAGGGGATTTATTAAAATCTAAAGATGCCCTTTATCCATGTGTTTTTGCGGAAGGTATGGAATTTTGAATTCTCGTGCTTGACCATGCATGCACACTCGTGAGGATTCACGAGCCCCCTTTTCACTGTAATTTATATGTTGGCATTCGAATTCAATGTTTGCAAAGTTTATATATAGGCGTGGAAGCATCTCTGTCTATTAATTTTACTGTCATCCTAGAATTAAAAATCAAAGTCATTATTCGGGGTATAATTCAATGCATATATATATAGCTGTATTGGAAATTATAGTCAAAATCCAGGAAAATCAAACAAGGAAGATTTGGATTTGAATTCTCTTGTTTAGATTATTAATATTTACTCCATTAATTATACATAACATGTTGTCATGTAGTTGATATAGTTGCAGCCGGCAGATTTGAGCATATCCCAACTGCATGGATAAGGGATAGATTATGCAGATCAGAAAGAAATTTAAAACTAGTGCAAAAATAGAAAAAAGTGGCCATCCAAATACAGGGAGCGAGTGTGTGAAAAAGAGATTTGCATGCAAATCACGAGAAGAGAAAACTATTAATAGTATATTATGGTCCCCCATCCTATAGCTATATCTAGGACCCTAAAAACGCAAAGCCGAAGAAGAACAAGGACATTTAAAACGAAACCCATCTTCTTTCTCGTGCTGATGATATCCACAGTAGTGCACGGTTTTATTATCAGTTTGTATATATATTAAAGGCTGCCGCCTTGCATGCCTCACCATGTTTATATGAATGGCTCCAGCCATGTCATCAAGATATTTGCAGCTATGTCAATAAGTTTCTAATTATGTCGTCCATGTATTTCATGCCTATATTCAGAATTGACAAGTTTAATCATAGTTATAGGTTCTTTGATTGATATTTTCTTTTTCTTATGTTTCAAGGTATAAAACTGATTGATGAAGTTTAGCTTGAGTAGGCATTTTTATTTATATTTTTTACTCAATAATATCATTTAGAAATCTCAATTTTAAGTGTTTTTCCAGTAATTAGAAAGTTTTTAAGCCGATTTTTCTGTTGATTCCTCTCTTTTTTTATTCCCTGTTCCCTTTTTCTTATTGGGCCAAGATTAAGATTATTCAATCCTATATTGGACAAGCAGGGAGCAATCCTACTCCATATCCATCATCTGAACCAAATTCTAGTCTTCTACTAAACTAGGCCTGCCTTCAAACTAGCCCTACGTTACAAGCCCAAGATATCAGCAGACAGCATAAAATTTAGATCAAACTGCCGACAGAATTGGCCCATTGTTCCGTTTACAAATTTTTTGGCATTTAATTTTTTCCAACAGAGTTTTCATGACAAATTTCTAGTAGAAACAATGAGATCATCCTAGTAAAAGAAAAATGTTGAACTCATCCATCGAATCACAAACTTTCAGAGTGCCTTGATTTCCAATACATCAGGACCTCGTTGATACCATTTCATTAGAAGACTTAATTTGCATATAACTTGGTATTGATGGGGGTGATGGAATTCCCAAGTAATTATAGCAAGGGTTAGAGTTGCGCTTGTATCCATTAAACTGAGCAATTTTAATTGAATTTTTAGGAGAAGAGGAGAAGACATGATTCAATGGTATGAGAATGAGAATCAACCTCTTCCCTGTGGAAATCCAGGAATATATTGGAACTCAATAATGTTTTGATTTCCTTACATGCACTTGCACAGTTCTGGCCAAATTGCTAACATAAATCGATTTCCACCTTAACAAGAAATGAAAAACAATTGTCATTGAGCTTACCTTAAGACAACCTAAAAAAGTTTCATCCTCAAGCTTGTAGTTGAGCTGATACCCATTTTAATGCTCTCCCTTCTTTCTAATGCAAAGTTATAGATCGCAAAATTAGAGGTCATATATAGAAATATGGGTAGTAATTTGTATAAAGGAAGCAATTTTGCCTTAGTTATGTTCGAGGGGCATAAAAAATTTTACCTCATATTTTAAATATAAGATTGTTAAATTAAATGTTTGAAATAGTAATCAGTAAATATTTCTTGGGAATATAAGTATTTTACATATGAATTGCGTCTTATATATAATATAAGAAATTTATCTCCTCAAATAGTTCAATCACACAAAGGACTTAAATTTTAAAAATAACAACTCTAAAATGAAAATATATGATGTTAAGCACATCAAAAATATTCACAAAGATTCTAAAATATGATCGCTAATTACTCCAAATACACTGCTACAAGTCACAAACAGTTGTTTGAAGGGCAACTGATAAACACTAGCCAGGGAAAAGTAAGAACTTACTATTACATAGCCACAAGAGAACCTAGAATTGATGTCCAAGAGGACTTGTTCATTAAAAGAACTTACTATTACATAGCCACAAGAGAACCTAGAATTGATGTCCAAGAGGACTTGTTCATTAAAAGGTATCGAGTTTAAATCCTGGTGGGACTTAGAAGATGGAAAAACTCAATTTCCTAATTATGTACGTAACTCAAGACTTAGTATGTTTTCAAGTGTAAAAAACAAAAGCAAAAATTTGAGTATTTGAGCTATAGCCATGTAGTTTGAAGTTCCCTTAGTTAGAAGTTATTCTGCCTTGAATGCCATTAAACGGGTATGTCAATTCACCTTGGTCCGGTCACCAATCTCCTTGGCGATTGCCGGTATACAACTCGAGGTTCTTGTGATACGACCCTTCTGCGGACCACCCTTGTCCCTAGGACTCGTAGACTTAGCCCTGACCCTTGAACTCTTCTTCAGGATTTCTCTCATTGCCTCAGCTTGGTACAGCACAGGGTGAGTCCGACCCAACCTGTTGAACCTCACACAAGCACTCATGTGCTCATTCAAGGCTTCTTCTCTTTTCCCTCCGTTCTTCTCCATCTCTTCATTGATAGCTTCGGCACAAAGCCCGCAAACCAATTTCCCCGCAAACTTGTCACGAACTTGACTAATGTACTCAGGAGTGCACTCCTCGGACATGCCACAGCACTCGCACTTGGCATCCTCGACTTCGGATATGGGCGGAAGCGTTGCGTCAATGGCTTCTTTGCTTAGCTCAAACGATATATCAGATATTGATCTTTGGAGACTCTCCATTGAAAGCCGGGGCTTGTTGACACCGTGGCTCTGAGAGTAAGAACTAACGATAGTCTTTTCCCTATTCGGTGCCATGGCAGTGGGTGTATAAAACAGAAATGGGAAAAACGAGTTTCTTGCTTTTCGGTGTATGTTTGGTTTCTTAGCTGAGCCCAACAAGTTTCGTATATGGAACAACTGGGAGGACCCCCATGCTTTGATTTATATAGATGTTGTATTTTCTCTAGGATCCTTAGGTAAAATGTATGTGGTCTGCAGAAACTATTTATGCCTGCAATCAATGAGAGAAAGAGACAGAGAAGACCTGAAAAAGCTAGATTTTTCACGATGATATTGGAATTACATATAGTACTATTTTAGATTTAAACACTAAAGAATCGTGTGGCTGGTGGTGGGCGGCTCCTAACTCTGTCTACAACTATACTGAGTAACTAGCAAGAGTGGTTTTGTTGAGGGGTCAGCTCAAGTGACAACTAGCTAGCTAGTTAGAGGAAGACAAGGCATCCTGATGCCTTGAGGAATTTGCTGCTGAGAGGGTTTTTCTTTCCCCTGAGGAAAAATTAAACATTATGGTTATTCACGAGATGGTCTACGCCAACCATACGAGTTCCAAGCGTACCTGATATCAGGAAAAAGTAATCGAAAGTAATGGAATATGATTTTGCTTTTATTATTATTTTAAAGATGGTGTAAGTTATGAACAACAGAGCCAATTAATCTAAAGAAGTCCAATATCACGAGAAAACACATCAAAGCATGTGAGCAGATAAAGTGGAAGGAGAGATGGCGCTGTCATAAGGGGAGGGGGGGGAGGTTTGCACTCACAGGGGTCCCGCAGGAAAAGCAAGAAAAGTAGTTTTTGGCTTCCTCTTCGATTGAAAAAGTTAAATAAAAAGGCTTTGATTGTGTGGTTTTGTTTTCCGGATCAGTTATTTTATACGGGATAAAAGAGGAAGGATTTTGAACTTTGTACGGTAAAGGCAACTGACGGTTTTAAGTTAAATGAATTCTGTTGGCCCTTTCAAGTATATAGAAGGATACTGTGCTGGGCAACAGTCCTTTTCCATTTCCGTTTTTCTCTTGTGATGAATTGCATGAGGCCCATTTAGCCAATTGCCTGTTTTGCTTTAATTGCTCTGTTTTAAGCCTACACAAGAAAGGCAACTTCTTGCTGGCTGGCTGGCTATTTATTGCATTGTTAAAGAGTGCAGAGCAGCCACTAAAGCATACAGCTGTTTTTCTTGGTTTAGGGAGCAGAATTTGATGATCCACTATATTGACAAGAAAGTAATACTGCATTGCAAGATTTCTTGCCAGTCTGACTTATGATTACCGGTGATAGGTGACCTTGCTAGAGTTCGAAACTCGCTTCTCTTTGAATGACTGGAAGGTGACAAGATTATCAGTTCATTCAAATCTTGCTTCAATTGTAACGTTAACTTTACTAGTGTTTCTCTCATTAGTCCTTCATCTGCAAGGCTGAGCTCGAAAAGTTGAGGTTACCAACGAGATTAACAACATTTGTTCATAGACAAAGAATTCTTCATTCTGCTTTAGAGCTCCTGGAGCAGGCAATGCAGACTTCTAGGCCTTGAAGAGGAATCACCTTTGACAGACATCGGGCAGAATTTAAGAATAATGAATAGTATGTTGTAAATTTCTGAGACGCCATGGAAGATCATCTGCGCCAGTTTAATATGGAAGGACTGAGCAATGGGGCATCCGTCCAAACCCATTGCATCTTTGAACTTTCAAGTCCCTCTGAATTTGTGACATGAACATGGCAGACTTTATTCCTTATGTGGCCTATCCTATAGTATTGGCATGTCTCTTTCTGACCCAAGGTAGTCCTTGGGAAAAATACTGAGCCCATTTGGTGCAAAAAGGTTTGGCCCACCTGAGTTAGGCTAGATTGCACAATATGAACAAAAAAGAGGAGTGAAAATATCATTTTTCTCTCTTCCGTTTGGCTTCTCCTATTTACTACCAAGCATTTCATTTCCATTTAGTAGGCACAGCCCTCACCATATCATTTTCTTTGTTTAGGACCACAGGTTGTATAAAATGCCAATGCAAGTTATCAAGCTGACATAATGAAGGCTATAATTTTCGTCTGTCTTGATTCAGACTTCTTGAATTCCATGATCAGTAGTTGAAACTTGCAGTCCTACAATGTTTCCTATGATAGAAAAGTATCTTTTTTGGTACCTAATCCAACTTTAAGTACACAAGAACCACAGCCTGTGGTCCATTTACCAGCTTTTTCAATTTCCATCTGCTATCAGGCAATACCACAGAAAAAGATGTCTTGACTGCTTGAATTTGTTAGAGAAAGAACAAACTCCCATTCAAACACATCTATCATATTCATAAAATCATCAATCACTTGCCTTATTTCATGGAGATTATTAGCTTTTTTCTTCTGGAGTTTGTGGTTTGATGATAATTTATAATAAAGTTCAATATAGCTCCGGTTTAGATATCTTTCTCCCCCTTCAATCGTTTGAATACACATGACTTCTTGCTTTATATGTCCACTGAACAAGCTACCAATCTTATCTCAGACTCACTATGAAATCATTCTTGCTGTTCTTTTTCTTGCTTTCTCCTCCTCCATTGTGATTAAAAAAATAAAAAAAAGGTATCCCCATCTGAAAATTAAATGCACTATCGCTTTCTTGAATAGTGACAAGAGTTCATATTTCTCCATGATGTGTGCAAGCATGCCAGCATGCGAAGAACCCAACCTGCTCTCCACTTCTGTTCTTTATTTTGTCAAAGGATCGTTCCCAACCTTTGAAATTTAATTCGATTTTTAATTGGCGCATGGATATATATGGATCTGGTCCATTAGAACACAAGCCGAAAAGATAAACAAGCAGAAGACAATTGGCTCGCCTGCTTTTGACACTCCCAAGGATGTCGCTATAAAGTTTGGCCACAGGGGAAAAGGATGTTCTTGTCACCATAACTGGATGTCAACTTTTCATTTTGGACCATCCATTTAAATTTGTACTAATTCCTTTTCCAAAAGAGAGAAGTGGAATTAACTTTAATAATTATGTCTAAAGGTTAAAAATATGATGCTTATTGGTGCCATATGGTGCATTCAAAATTGTTCCAACTTTCCTCATTCTTTTCTTCCTTTCTGCTCCCTGGATTAATGATCACCAATCAAACCTACTGCCCTTTTTAGCCCGTAGATTGCACTAGACTCTTCTACAAACAATGGCAGAGCCAAGATTTCATGCTTGGGCGTGAAGAATAGAAAATATTGTCTATAAAACAGTCATATTAAAAATTAAATATTTGATAAAAATATAAAAAAATTAGATAAAAAGTTTATATAAAAATTATAAAAATAAATTTAAAAAATTATTCAATAGAATCAATCTTAATAATTTATTTAAAAAATTAATTAGGATAATCATAAATAGTTTAATAATGATAATAATTTTAATTTTTAGATAAATTTAACTACAAAAAAAATTAACAAATATAATAACAAAAATCTTAATAGGAAGCAATTCTCTAAAAAATACTAAAAGCTATCAATAAACAATTTTATGGGGAAGCAATTTCTTAAAATTAATCATAAAAATTAAATACAATATCAATAAACAATTTAATGAAAAAATAATCCTGAGTAAAAACATTTATTTATTCACAAGAATTTAAATAAAAAAACACAAATAATTTATAAGAAAGCAATCCATCAATCTCTAAATAAATAAATAATAGTTACTTTTTTGTGTTTAATCAAATCCTTGCTTTGTTGCTTTTAACAAAAAATGACTATGACAATATATTTTAAATTAAAATGATTAAAAATAAAATAAGTAAATAAACCAAATTTGTCAATTATCGTGACATGAAGTAGAAAAAGTTGGCAACCAAAAAAATGTTAAAAAATAAATTTTTTTCTACAGTTTTTGGTAAAAAGAACAGAGAAGAAATGGTGATTGTGAAATTTTAGAAAAGTAAAGTTTAAGAATAATTCTATTGTAATAAATTTTATTTAAAGTTTATTAAAATTAGTTATTGATTGATTATTGTAAGGCATTTTATTAAATAAAAAATTATTTTAAAGATAAAATTTTAAAATTTTAAAAAATAAAATATATTAAATCATTTTTAAATTTTTATAAAATAAAGAGAAATTATAAAATTTTTTAAATTGTCGGGAGCCCCAGTAGCCCCCCTGCCCTCCTCCGCCTCAGCAAATATGAACAAATCAAAGAGAAATCCATTCTACTCTGAACAAATACGAAGAGCCATCATCCGACAAGCTAGCTAGCTGCCCACACGGATGGAAAATTCAAAAGACCATCCATCAGTCAGCTGACAGTCAGTGGAAGCCCATCTGACAGTTGGTTGCCAATGTTACTAGCTGCTTATCCCCTTTGGCAAAAGACCCCCAATAAACTGCAAAAGCATTAAAGTTGGAGTGCAATACTTCACCAACTTTCTCAGCCATGCACCCCCACTCTTAACGCATCTTGCTTGTCTTGAATAAAAGATGCAAAGAGCTGTCAAATATTTCTCAAGCTTAAATATCCCATCTCGTTATGCTATCATATATGTTGAACTATGTTAGTTATTACCTAAATCATAGGTATAATTATAATAGTACTAAGTTATATATACTGACACATTGAAGCGATAACATAACGTAGTTAAGAAGCAAAGGAAACATAGGCAAAGATGATTTTTCCTGTACTTGCATGCATCAGTTCTTCCACCACTTTCCTAGTAAATTAAATCCTTTGATTACCCTTTCATTTTCATTTAATGCACCTATCCATCAATCTTAATTTTATCTACATTGAATGCAAGATTTGTTTATTCTGTTATACGAGGAAAAAGCATAACCTATACCCTACACTTTATAGGCCATATTAGGACCCTAAACCATATGTCCTTATTCTCAATTATCTGGTATATATGTTTTGAAAAGACAAAAATCACCTTCATTCAAATCAAAAACTTTCCCTTATCTGAACAACTTAAAACTCTTAAATCATGTCAATATTATACCCAAAGAAAAAAATCACTTCTTAAATAGCAATTTAAAAAATAAAAAGATTTGGGGTAAGAGTCCAAAGGCTCCTCTCCATACGTGAAATCGCAGTGATGTTTACGTGCGTTGTGGTGACAGAATAGAACGTGACGATCCACAAATAAGTAGTCAGTTTCATATCCATGGTTAAGTCCGCTTGGTCGGCTGATTAATTAGCCATAAAAAGGAGAGAGAGAGGAGGGAACTGCAATATTATATTTTGTACAGAACTTCGGGTTTCAGAAATGACACGTGGACGAATCCCAGTGTCGATGATCGAGAGAATTTTAGAGGCTAGAAATAGCCGTCGTGGCTTTTGTGGTTCGATTCCATCGAAGCTTCCTTGATTCTCAGTTTCGAGCGAAGCCTCGGCCACCGAGCGGCGGATGTCAACCGGCTGGCTCCACTTTTTCCGCTGTTCAAACTTCAAACTATAAATTTAAATTACAGGGTGGTTACATTTTCGGTGGATCGACCCGCCGATTGTTACGACTGAAAATCAGGAATTAAAAAGGATACCTTACTCATCAATCTATAATTTATTTAAAAAATTCAATATTATTAATTTGGAAACACTAACATTAGGCAATTAACTAATGCAGTGCAATTTCATGAGAGTGAAACTTTAATAAATTATATACCACTTATATTTAGAATTGATCCACATTACCCTCAAATCTCAATAGTATTTAAAAAATAGTATTAAAGTGATACCAACTAATTAGCTGTGTGTTTAGTCTTTACTGACCATTAATAAATGTTCTATTATCAATACTATATTTTATTTAATTTATTCAATTTAAATATGTAATAATTTATATTATACTTGATTTTGTAAATATAATTTATCATATTAAAACATAATATAACATAAATGATATAATATAAAAGAAGTCTCCAAACTATTTAAAAAAATTTTAAAAAATTCTTATAGGTTTGTTGTATTTACTCAAACGGTTGTATTTTTATTTTAAATTAAATAATATTTAATATTCTTATTTTGAATCAAATAAGTTATTGAGAATTAAAATATCATTTATTATTCTATGTAACAGAATATGCTCATATATTATAATTGATAATGATATGACATGATGACATATAATAATTAAAAATAATGTAACATGTTAATTTAATATAATAATATGATCATGTAATATTTTTTAACATCTACATCAACTCTAATAAATTATTAATTATAAAAATTTATTTGACTCAAAATAAAAATATAAAAACTTAATTATACTAATAAAAGAATATAAATATATTTAATTTTTTTAAAATAATTTAAAAACTTATTTAAATATTATGTCAACATAAATTGTATAACCATATATTAGATTCAAAACATCAATAATCAATATACTTTGTATAGACATAAATTAATGTTTTTAGGATTTCATCAATATTTTTAATATGTGTTTCTATGAGTTCTTTTCTTCAAAACTTCCACTATTTAATATTTGTTCTCACATACAAATACATATGTCACAAATTAATAAAATTTATAAATCTAACAAGAAAAGATAAACGAGATATTGATATATACAAAAAAATATTATAATTTTTTTAAAGTCTTATTCAATTACAAATTAAAAGAGATCATAGTATAATTTTTTTAATTTTATATTCTATTATCAGGTTAGTATTTTTCACTGTATAATCCCCCTGCAAAAAAAAAAAAAGAAATTTATTAAGCGGAGGTTGCTAACCAGTTTCTCCTCTAAATTTTCGCGCAAACGACAAACCGTCAAAACTCGGTCGGTCGGGAGCCGAGCTGTCAGGCTGGCAAGCCAAGAGTATCTTTCACGAGCTGTTGCGTGAGCCTCGCAGTACTCTCTCCCCTCGCTTCCCTCCTTCATTTTTTAATTAATTAAAGGAGATTTGTGCCGAAGAATCCGGTTCTCCTACACCCGTAATCAACAACTAGCGTTACGTCTTCACTGCATCATCGTCGTTTATCTTGCTTACGAATCCGAAATCATATCCTGGACTCAATCCAAAAAATCCACGTCAGCGACCGCAGTTAATTTCGTTTCCATTTTTTTAGTTTACGTGTACGAAGTCTCCCGCGCGCTCTATAAATACCCCAATTGGACTACCCTGAATTCTCTCCCTTTTTGTCTATAATCGTTAGTTTTCTTCCTTTAGCTCCATTTTATTGTATCTATAGATTTTTATTTTTTTTTCATTTTCATTTTTTCTAAATTTTAGTTTGATTTTTTTGCCATCTCTGCCATGTCAACGGCGGGGGAGATGGAGCAATTGACATCGGGAGCGAGCAATCGGATAATCCCGATCCTAAGAACCCTAAGAATTCTTCTCATATTCATTCAATCAGCAATCTTGTACCTCCTCCTCCTCCTCTTCCCTCGGCGCCGCCACTCTCAGACAGCGGTCTTGGGGGTTGAGGCTACTGCTGCTGCGCCGCAATCGCCTGCTAAAACCGCGAGGCGGAGGTTGGTATGGAGGCGAGAAGAGGAGGACACTTTGAGAAGGAGAGCCTTGGCGGAGGGTTTGGACATGGGGTTTGAAACCGGGGACGGAGAGATTCGGTGCCGCTGGAGCACGTCTCTGTTCTTTGGGGTTCGAAGAAATGCCTTGTTTTGCCGGTCCTGGTTTCCGGCTACTGGTGAATTGAAGTAAGACTTTGCTTTTCTTGATCGACTATATTTTTCTTAGAGAATTGAGGGAAAGAAATGAAATGAAAATGGATACTATCAAATTTAAGATAAAGTGCTTATTTGTCGTTTTGATTTTCTCTGTTCATAGATGAATTAAAGTTTGTAATCTTTGAAATGCTTATGACTCGAGAGGAACTATAACCGTTGTTCAGATGAACTTAATTTTTAGTTTCCAATTTTGAGAACTATAAACTGAGATGATCTAACTTTTTGTATTTTACTATAATTTGAGGGAATGATGCTTTGCTTTCTTCAGCAATTGAAGCCTTCTGGGTTGATGTGGAAATAGTGCTTAAGTGTTATCTTGTGTCTATAGTATCATTCAATCTGTAGCATGTACTTTTTGTTCTTTTCTTTTCTTGTAGTTGACTTTATTCTGTTGCTCTTTTGCTCTCCTCTGTCATCTCATAAGTGCTTTTTGTCTGTGATTTTAGGGGCATTTTGATCATTATACATGGCCTGAACGAGCACAGGTAACATTAGTTTGTTAATTGAACATTGAACGGTACCTTAGTTTTTCCCCCCACTGGAAAAGAATCTCATTTTTCGTACTCTGTTTTCACTGGTGTTCATTTACAGTGGAAGATATGCTCAATTTGCAAAGCAATTAACCTCTTGCAACTTTGGTGTATATGCGATGGACTGGATTGGTACATAATTTGATACTAGTGTTTCTGCATTTCCTTTGGCAAAGGTGTGTTCAAAGTTATGACTTTTAAGTTATAGTAACGAGATTTACTATCTTGCTATAGGTCATGGTGGCAGTGATGGATTGCATGGATATGTTCCCTCGCTTGATCATGTTGTTGCAGATACTGTAAGTTCTACTTGAGTTCTCTGTGTCTTCCTAATGTCGACTTGAGATTAATTCATACTGATTACTTTGTCCTTTAATATTTAAATGGTGTTTCCCGAAATAATAGAACATTGAAATCATAAATAATTCAAAGCTTACTGACTATTATATCTACCAGTTGGTGAAAAAAACTAAAACTTTAACGTGGCTGTCTTTGGCTTTATTCAAAATATGCCCACAAGGTGGTACTAAGCTTTGTATCTTCTCTTTCTTCAGGGGGCTTTCTTGGAAAAGATCAAATCAGAGAACCCTGGTGTACCTTGCTTCCTTTTTGGTCACTCGACCGGTGGAGCTGTGGTTTTAAAGGTATAGCATCTAACATTAGTTAAAGTTTTCAGTAGAGTTAAGCCAGTAGAACTTTTCAATAAAGAAGTTGCAACTTTGCAGGCAGCTTCATATCCTCATATTGAAGAAATGCTGGAGGGAATTGTGCTGACATCTCCAGCTTTGCGTGTTAAGCCAGCACATCCAATTGTTGGGGTGAGTTGCTGCTACCTGGTTTGTATTGTAGTAAATCATGCTGTAGTTGAATCTGAGTTTTATTCCTTTAAGTAAATGTTTAAAGTTAAAAGTGTGTTAAAACCAACCAATCACACACGCCAATGGTTTAATAATAACCTGGTACAACATCTGTAATAGCCACTTTCCTCTATGGAAAAACCAGGCTCTGCTTTTTTAAAATATCAAAGGTCTGTAAAAAATTCTGTTAAGCAAATGATGCCTGCAAATAAATTTGAGGTGTTAATCCCTTTTGAATGTAGCTGCTTTTGTTTTAGCCTGAATATTGCTTTCATGATTATGTCCTCTATAATGACATCTGACTATTGTGGTTGAGATTGTTGGGGGGATAGATTTCCGCCAATTGAGATGTGTGAATTGCTTTGGTTTTGTGTCAACTCTTTTGCTATTGAGTAATGCGAGCATGTAGTTATAATATTCTAACATATTGTAAATAATAATATTCTTTAAATTGTTGGGGGGATAGATTAAAACAGGATATGACAAATTCTACTGTTTTCACCCATGTTAAATTTTGTGTATGTTGTCTTTGTGCAGGCTATTGCACCTCTTTTTTCTCTGGTTGCTCCCAAGTTCCAGTTTAAAGGTGCTAACAAGAGGGGCATCCCAGTTTCAAGGGACCCCGCAGCACTGTTGGCCAAGTATTCTGATCCCTTGGTATATACTGGTCCCATAAGGGTCCGAACAGGGCATGAGATATTGCGCATTTCATCTTACTTGATGCAAAACTTTAAGACTGTGACCATCCCATTCCTTGTTCTCCACGGAACTGCAGACAAAGTGACTGATCCACTCGCCTCCCAGGATTTGTACAATGAGGCAGCTTCTAAGTTCAAGAACATAAAGCTCTATGAGGGCTTCTTGCACGACCTTCTCTTTGAGCCGGAGCGTGAAGAGATAGGGCAGGATATAATTGACTGGATGGAGAAGAGATTAGGTGCCGGAGCTGAAAAGATTGGTTGTCTCTGGTAAATGATCTAGCAGGATAGATTTAAGTGTTGTCTTTTACACAAAGTTAGACAAAAGAATGTAGATGTTTTTAGAAAGTTCAGTTCAACCACCTGCGTTTGGGGCTCTGGTACCCGGTTTGTAATCATATTGTAATTATATAACTGTTATTTGTAGTGGTTTGTTTGGAAAATATCTTCATTTTATATGGTCTTTGAGATTCATAGTAATAGTACATATATGTCATTCCGTGGATATAAAGGGGGGTAAGTTTTCAAGTTTCATGCATTATTTTGTTGGTAACTCGTAAGCAAACCCTTCCACTCTTACAGGCTTGCCACTGGGTGTGGTCCAAAGAGTGGATCACTTCGTTGGTAACTCGTAAACAGTAAGGACGAAATAACCATGTGAGCTGTACTTACTCTTACGTTCTACAGCTGACAGAATCAATTATACATTTCATGTGAGCCAGCTCTATTATCTTCTTTTTTTTTGTTCATAATTGTCAGAAAGTGATGCATCCAAATTGCATTGTATTTGTACATATGACCAAATATCTCTAGTTTCTCTCACAATATTGTCTTGACTCTTGAGAAAGATGGAAGATCAATGGGATAATATCTTAATACACCTTTGAGGTAAGACGGATTTCTTCTATATCACTCTCACTGCTTTTGTAATTACTAGCATATGACAAGAATCTGCTTTGTCCGTAAAAAAAGTTGTTAGCTTGTAGATCAAAATAGAAATTTTTAGAGTACCCAAAAGACTTTCACGCTTAAAACAAACAACTTTCTTTTCTTTTTGTTCTTTTCCATATATAACGAAGATCAGAAGACATGAAAGATTTAAGCTTAAACTTATTATAACACCACCAAACATATTAGTGCAATGTAAGAAGTCGAACCGAGGAATGAGTTGCTTAGATGACAATGAAAGAGTGCGAACCAGGAGGGACCTCGAACCCTGACAATTCCAGTTAGCTATCCCATCTTATTTGCTGACAATCATAGATGCTGTAACATATTTTAATATAAACCATATACACAAACATTTGACTCAGCATCTCCAATACAAAAGTTTCTGGTCAGTTGTCAGAATCGCATTGACTTTGGGTTAGTCGAAGAGCATTAAATCCATCAATTTTGCCACACATAAAATGGAAAATATCATTCCGAGCTTGACTGCAATAAAGCACCAGAGATTATTTAAAGATCCCAAACTTCCATCGAGTAGCATACATGCAGCGAGGTAACAGTTTAATACTATTCAACGGGAAATCTTACCTTCAAGATTTGAGCCTTGATAGCATCCTCCAATTTGTTTGCCATGAATTGCAGACAATTATCAAGATAAGAACCTAAATCTTCCAATCTCCACCCTTCAATCGGATCAGCTATAAACGACCACTCGATCTTGCACCCTACAGGTTCACCATCACCCTCCATCGGCAAGACTTTAACAGTGGCTACGTAGTTCTTGAACCCAAAACTATCTTCAAGGACCTCGTAGCTTAGGCAGCGGTTGGTCGGATCAATGGTTAAAAGCCTCTCTTTGGCCCATCCAAGCTTGCCTGCACAATAACGGACCAGCCCAGGCTGCCCTGGAGTTCCCTCTACTCGGTAACATGTATCCATGTCGGGAAAGAACTTGTCTAAGTTGCAGAATTCCTCCAGGAAAGGCCATATCTGCTCTGCTGTTGTGCCTTTGAGCTCCGCCGTGGCCATTCCTTCCCATTTTGGTTGTGTTTCTTCGGCCATTTGTGATTGTGAGAGAGATGGAAGTAAGAAATGGAGAGTAATGGGGAGAATGTGGAATGATTGAGTGGGGGAAGTCGTATATATTCAGGGTGAGTAGCTTTCATAGAACATTACCATGCCAGATTACCAAAACAGCCTCGTCATTTCAATTTAGTTATTAAAACAATTTCAAAAATATTTTCCATTTAATGCAGTAATTAATTTTATCAAATTTAAGGGAAAATGATAATATTAAATACTAGATTCTTTTTCTAAGTATAATCTTAATCAATGATAATAGCTACCAATTAACATTTCTTATTAAAATACGTGTTTGGATACTTTTGGTTAAGAATTTATTTTCATACAATAAAATAATTACTGCATTAAATGTATATTGTATGGGGGAAAGCCTATAAGTAGTAATTAAGGAGTAGTTGACTTTGTAAATGAATATTAGTTAATTAAGGAGAATATTGACAAGTTCGAGGAACGAGCATCAGTACCATTCCCACTAGCAATTAAAAGCTAGAGGGCCAGCGACTGAGAAGAAAGAAAAGTTATGGAGCCAGTGTCCTTCAAGAATTTAACAAAACTGTATGGGGGTGATATAGAGAGGATAAAGAGCCGTAAATTATGGGCTAGAATCAAGGGTGTCAAATCATATATTAAAATTATTTTTTGATTAATTTAGTAATAAATTTTTAATTCTGTAATAATCGAATAAATTGTTTTTTTAATAGATTAAAAACGAGATAAAATCCCTATTTTCCAATTTAGAAAAGACAACAGGGTAAAACATTCGATTATGAAGTCACAGACTGCTCAATTTACAGCTCCAGGGCGGACATGTGAGGTTGGTTTATATTATTATTATTATTATTATTATCATTCTTTAAACTAATATTCCACGGTTTAAACAACATTGGAAGTTTGGAACAACCGGTATACAAGGAAATTGGGGCACATGGAAACCAGACAAGATCTTGTTGGTCAACATTAATCCAGGAAGAAAGGAGAAACTGAGTGGACACAGTCCATATTATCAAAGACTCATGATACTATGAGCAGCTTAATTTAACTAGTTATATCTCTAAGCTTGACAGATTGCATCCTCCATTCTCTTAGCCTGGCCTTGGAGGCCCACCTGAAATATTTTCTTCATGTCCTCCAATTCCCACCCTTCCACAGGATCAACAGTGAAGGACCACTTGATCACGCACCCATTTTGATGATCATCACCATCAGCCCCAGGAACAATCTTGACAGTTGCAACATATGAACTGAACCCAATGTTGCTGTCCACTATCTCATAGCTTAAGCTATGCCCTATATGATCAACGGCTATTAGTCTCTCCTTGGCCCAATTTTCAGAGCCTCTGTCGACGCCACTACCCTCGGAAGAGATTGAGAAACCTGAGCAGAACCTGATGCAACCAGGCTCACCGTTGGTGCCGTGGATGCCATGACATGTGGTTAGACCGGGATACCATTTGTGAAGGTTGAAGAAGTCTGTGTAAAGAGGCCAAATTTGGTCTGGAGAAGCACTCGTTATCCTTGCAGAAACCTTGGCCTCCCATTTAGGCTGGGAATTCTTTTGCTCTTCCATTGTAATAAGAGTGAGAAAGATTGGTAAAAAAGCTCTCTAGGAAAGAAACTTTTTATAGAGTATAGAGGCATCATTTCTAACGTGGCATCAACATACTTGGACGTATGCCTGGCGTGAATCTCGTGGATTTTGATTATTTTATGAGAAAGGTCATCTACGTGAAAGTTAAATGAACATTATCTTTATTTGTCCAAGTGTATTACGGGCCCCAGAAAACGTTATTATTATTTTTATTTTGAAAAGCGGAATTCATTAATGAATGAATTACTTCACCTCAAGGAACCAAAGAGATTTTAGACTTCTATACCAGGCCAGTGAAGGGCATGCAAGCCTAAAATTCCTAGGACAAACAAAAGCCAAACCAAAAACATCAGCAGACACTAAGCATCAAGGCCTCTATGCAAAGCAACTAACACCCCTGCACCGAGCCTCCACTCAACCCAGCACAAACCAAAAAATGTTACTATTAATACCCGTAACATTCATCCAGTCCGGGAACATTTTTTCCCATGGATAAATCTCAATGCATAAGAATCCATCCTAACGAAAAATATCATTGGTTTAGATTGCATAGCGGAAGATAACTTGTTTTCCTTTTTCAAGCGAAGTGATCTGGGATCACATTTTATCTTAGTATGCTTTATGATTTACGCATTAAGTACAACGTTTTTTAGTTCATGGAGATTTGTTATCAATTCAATTCTTTCACTTCATGTCTGACCGACTGGAGCCTCTGAACTTCTTCTTGCTTGTCATATTAAAGGTTTTGAACAAAATATCAAATCATTTCTTGTTGTATTTTACAGGGAGTTTTTTCTGGTTGTCTTGTCACTCGTAAACTAACAGGACTTTTACTGCTTGTGTTTTTTCTGATAAGCAAGGATGTAGTATATTCATTTCAGCAGAGCTATAAGGTGCTGGTGCAAGTCTCTAGCTTAGACTTTTGGCAGAAGACTTGTTCCAGCAGATTACGGCCTGCAAGCATCTCTAATACAGGCTCCAAAACACCATCTTCCCGAATGAGTACACGACGGCTAAACCCCATTAGACAGTCCCTCTCACTGTTCTAAGGTTTGTAAGCACTATCACACAAAGCGCCAGTATAGCTTCCTAAACTGCTTGTATATAGAACATGAAGAATTCTTGAAAGTAACAAGCAGGAGCTACATCGAGAAATACTCAGAAAATCTTTCCTATGGTTCATTATAACTACTAATACCACTCTCTTCTGGTATATATACATATTTTATAGAACTTGATCGTATACAAGTAGCCTCTCAGGGTAATTTGAATCCAGCATGTATTTCTGTCGGAGTTTGAGTTAATAACTCATTATTAATTGGTTGCATAAAGGTTATGATTTCCCTACCAAAACCTTATAGTGCCTCCTTCCTTCTTTCAGGTTTTTGCTTGACCGGGGGAAGGTCCTCGATGCAGCCCAATCTCCAGTCTTCCAGTTTAGACATCAACACCTAGAGGTAAACAAAGCACACTGGTAAGCTGGTATCGACGTTTTAATTTAAAGTTAATGGGAATGAAAGGAAAAGTTCAATTGAAAATTAACCGCATGCATATCTCAATGAAATTTCATTTTCATTTTTGCCTACTTTTTCCAACCCAACAGCTGGTTCTTCCACTTCCCACACTAAAATCGCTTAAATTAACATAAGATTTTGGCTTCTGTAATCATTAGGAAACCCAATAGTTAATAAACTAAATAAAAGCTAAAGAATTCTTTGAAATATATCAATTTTTAATTGCAAAATTATTGTATAATGTAGGGATAAAGTAAGGCTTATACCTAACTTAACATAATACATAAGGGATCGCCATATCTTTGCCCTTTTACACTTTCCACTATATACATTAGTTAGTCTATGCATTTAGCTTTAATCTTTCTTTCCTTTGAACTTATCCTTAGGGCACACCAAAATCTCAACCAACTTGTAAAATGAACAGTTGATTTTTTTTTCTTTTTTATCAATCAATGTTAAAATTTTATTAATATTACTGAAACTACAGTGAGTGTCGGCCTTGAAGCCTATTAGTTCAAGCAAGTGCAAGCATCAGTTATCTACAACCTGTTGTACAAAAATATGAACAAAATAGAGACAGCAGACTACATGTGCAGACTGCAGCCCTGACTGTGATATAAATACAGAAATCTGCATTAGCTGTGTAAAAACGAACACTTGATGTATATGATAACAACAGTGATTTGGGATTTACTGATTTGTTTTCACCTTTTGTATCAAAACTTTAAGATTAGTTACTACAACAATGGAAAAATCAGTGTAAAATAATTTGGTTACACTTACAATCAAGATTTTCATCATTTCCTTCTCATTGGCAATTATGACAATGATGTGATAGTAAAACTACTATACCCAAGTGGTCAGTTCAATTAAATTAAATCAATACCCTTTTACAAGTGGAGGAATTAAACTAAACCCATTTTTCAATAGGTAATGCTAAGCTCTTAAGGTTGAAGACAAAGATACATGATTAGCAGAAGAGAGAAAGAGCAAAAGCAAACTAAAGTAATCAAAGCAGACAGCACAAAACGAAATAAAACAGTGATCAACTTTGGACTTTCCGTTCCTTTAAATATACCTGATATCCGAACTCTTTCCTAAGAGCAAAGCAAAAACACCAAAAATCTCCCACTCTAAGACATGGAACCAAGCCCACCCTTCATTGCCAAGAAGCTTTGCAACTTGGCTCGTCTAAGTTTCTTCATGATACGAAAAGGTTTCTCAAAGAGTAAGCTCGTGCTTGACGATCTCCACTTCTTAATGAAACGTGGGAAGATCATGGGAAAAGCCTTGAACGAAGTCGTGGTAGCCAATCATGCTTCGCTGAGTTGCAGGTCACGTGACGTGCACCTGTCCTTCGTATCCCCTATGGAGTACGAGTTCAGCTGCAGCACCAGCCCCTCGTATCAGCCTTACGTCCCCTTCCATGCCAGAAAGCGCAAATCCCGTTACCCGTACACGCGCTCTCGCACGCGGGACGGTATGATTTTTGGAGCAATGGGCTGTAGAGATGCGGGAGATTATGAGTCGCCGCTAGTGGTACCAAAAGGAAGGAGAGTGGAGATTAGGGAGACGCCATTCGTGTTAAAGGATGACGATGAAGACCACCGCGTGGATGAAGCTGCTGAGGAGTTTATTCAGAGCTTTTACAAGCAGCTGAGGTTGCAGAAATGGTTGGCTGTCCTGGAAGCAGCTGATCAATATGGCTAAAGCTTCATTCCTAGGTTTTTTTCTATTGACTTTGATATTTAAGGGAAAAGCAACAGATGTTTAACATTTCTGCAGCTTCCATCACTGCGTGTTGAGGTCACTTGATCTTGTCCTAGAGCCAGTGGAACTGTTACAAGTTCGAAAAGAGAGGAGATTCTTGCGAGAATCTCGTTATCCTGCTTTCGAGCTCTTCTCTTCCATGCCTGGCTTTTTATTTTCTTTTTTCTTTTTCGTCCCCGGATTTGATTCTTGGCTCTTAGGGGTCAAGACAAAGACCTGCTTTTCTGTGTATTGTGTATAGAAAAAATATTAAGCAATGAACATACTTTCGATTTTATTTTTTGGTAGTGGAAATGAATTGTTTATATATATATATATATATATAGTACTTCAGTCTTCCTCTTGCTTTCTTCGGGAAGGGAATTTGTAATTCACCAGCAAGGGGACGATATGAAATAAAGCACTGATCTGAAAACCGTTCCTCTCGAGCGGAACCTCTAACTGAAGCTGTTATTTTTTTATAGAAGTCTATACCTTATGACTACTGCAATTGGAGAGGGTGGTGAAGGCACTGTACTTGCTTAGCAAAGAAGAGAGCGTAGCCGTCCGCTTTCAGACTTCGACGCTGTAGACTAACTCCAGCGGTAGCAGCAATGAGGTCCCCTCATTTTTTGCTTAACCTAATTAATCAGACCCCGGGGAGAATGTTGATGGAGACGTCTTTTGGCTTTCTCTTGTTCATCAACTCCAACCTCATTCCTCTGCAATTGATGTTACGGATCAGCCTCCTTTTCTTTCTTTATTGAGTTTTCCTCATACGCTAAGGGCACTTTCTCACTTAGAATGAAGATCAACAATAACAATGGGCGAAAGGCTTTACAGAAGACCACAGAACGAGCGAGAGAGAGAGAGCCTTCGATCGCTTACGTGCAAACGGCCATTCCTGGCTCGGCACCGATAACGCAAGGAGTACTCGGTAGTTGGGCACTGGATCCCTTCGGACTTGGCTTTGAGGAAGTCTTCCTCGAGAGCCCGGCGCAGAATCATAGACGAGCCAGGGCCCAGGGGCAGTTCTTTCTCGCCACTTACTTAAATGGCAGCTCATGCATTAGCCTATGTTAAATCTTGCCAGTCCAGGAGTTAATGCAACAGCAAAGGCCTTCTTCTTACAACAGACGGTTCGATCAAAGAGTAAACTGCAATCTATGGCAGTTTCTTAAAGTCTGTAGCTCCTCAACGAAGGTAGGTTGACCAAGCCTAAGCTACTAGGGAAGTGTTTTGAATCGATATCTGCTATCAGGGGTGATGATGGATCCTACACAGGTTTACATCCGATCCAACCTATTAGGGGCTATGAGGAATCAATATCAATCAAATATTAAACTTTAATTTTCATCTAATCATTTTTAATGAAAAATTCGTACAAACATGATCTAAAGAATCTTACAATCAACTATATACTCTTTTATTTCTTATGACTTCAATTAAGCTAAAACAAGTTTACAAAGAATATAGGTTGGACCTTAGACCTGTTTTACAAGTGGTCACCCGGAGTGCTGTGGCAGCATCCCAGGTCTGGCTTGAGTCTTGATTCAAAAATCCGAGCTGAGATCAGGAGACCCAAAGCTGTCCTTTGGTGGGTTTCCAGTGTCTAGTGTTTTAAGTGGGTCAGGGTTTGGGCTTCAAGAAAAAACCCTAATGGGCCAAACTCCGGTACAAGAGTTGGGTGAAGCCGTGAAGTAACCATTTTCAAGAATCCAAAAGAAAAAAGGCATGACCGCCACTGTTTCGGCTGAAACATGGCCTGCGGGGAGCCTGGGGAAGGGGCTTTGCTAGCTTGGAATAAAGGTTGAAGAAGTTGGGGATAAACATATCGTAGAGGTGCAACATGCTCTTTGATGTTATTAAGTTACAACGTAGCTGAGATTCGATTCTGAGTTGATTCAGAATCTCTAAAGCCCCCTTCCCTCCCCAGTGGAATATTCAGCTATTGATCAAGACTTCTTCCTTTAGTTTCATAAATCAAGGGCAGCTTATCACTTACATCAAATGGATAGATTTATGAAGGGAGAAAAAGATAGTAATATCTGGGCTGTAGCCTGCTTTTTGTACCTTTGAAAGTAACATCAAATTTGCAGACAATTCGAGAGGGTTTTTATCGGCCAGAATTTGAGAAATCCTTCCAGGTTCATGGATTTTCTCTGGCAAACATCTGGTCTCATGCACCATTGCTAGTTCGCTATGGTTTGTCGCAATGCCTGAAGTACCATATACCTCCAACAAAAAGTTCACGGCTTTCCTACATATTTTTACAAATTAATAATCAAATTTAATGATCTTCTTTTAGCTTTTGAATAAGATCATTGTTCAACAATGCATTCCACATTGTCCATCTACCAGAAAAATATTCCCTATCGTCCTCCCATTTAAAGTTACCAAGTATTTGACTCAGAATAAACATCTGTGGCGCAACTCACAAGAAAATCTCTCAATGTCGCTTGACGTGTCGGCCCATTACACGACCATGCAAACAAGCCGCTTGACGTGTCGGCCCATTATATGACCATGCAAGTGAGGATTCAGATTACACAACTATTATAAATATTTAAAATAATTTTTAATTAGATCAATTTGAAATGTAAGTATCAATAAATTTAAATTTTTAAAATTAAATTTTTTTAATTTTTGATTGAAATAGGTATTTTAGATAAAAAAAATTTATGTTTTGATTTATAAAAACATATTAGAAATACTTTAATCAATACTAAATTATAAAAAAATAAAAAAAATGAAATTTTAATTTATAAATAACAATAATATTTTAACTGTTAAAGTGCAACAGAAATGTCAAAACCTCTACCTAAATTACCCCTATACATATAGGTCCAAACCTCCACACAACTCCAAGCAGGTCTTTGGCAACAAGCTCTTGTGAGGGCCTCGTCTGTTTGTAATCCTGAA